GCTAGAGCCATCCTAGCACAGAGGGAAGGGAGCATGCCTTGCATGCAGGGGACCTGGTTTTGACTGATCCTGGTTTCCCAGATGGTTCCCAGAGCTCCTCCAGGAATGATTCCTGAGAACAGAGGCAGAACTAAGTCCTGACTACTGCTGGGTGTGTCCTATGCATCAAAAATAGATAAATAGATAAACAAAAACAAACACAGAACTATGGCTGAGTAGACAGCCCAAAGGGTTGGGGCAGGTGCTTTGCACTGAGTGGCACTGGGAGTAGCCTACAAGATTGTCTGGGTATGGACCCCAGAAGGAAAAGTTAATACGGCTGTTTCATTAGTACTGATGAGAATATTTTTTTGCGTTCTAGATACAAGTTCTTTGCATACTTTGAAAATATTTTCTTCCCAGTCTGTAGTTTCTCTTTTATATGTTCATAGATATGAATTAATTTGTTTTAATGAAATTAGAATTATCCACTTACAATTTTGTTGGCTGTTAAGTGTCATATCTGAGAACTCTGCATAGTCTCAGACCAAGATTTTATCATGTTTTCTTCTCAAAGTTTTGTATTTGGGGCAGAGAGGAATCACGCAGTAGTTCAGAATGAAGTCCTCTTTGCAAGAGTATGGCCACAACTTCCAAGCCCTGATAATTCTCATTTCAGCTAGTCTGCGATCCCCATGCTGCAAGACTTCTAGCCACTCTGCAATCTGATGTGGATAAGCACTACAGAAGAGTGCAACCTCAGTGTGTGCGTTGCAATATAAAAGCATGTGCAAGGGCGAGAGAGAGAGAGAGAGAGAGTACAGTAGATAGGATGCTTGGATGCTTGCAATACAGATGGCTGACCTGGGTTTGATCCTCTGGCCCCTCCCTGAGTACCATGAGGAGTGATCCCTGAGTGCAGAGCCTGAAGTAAGCCCTGAACACAGGGCCCCCAAAATGCCCTCCCTGCTGCACTATTGCCCTGACCCTTCTAGATAAATTTCAGAATCTGTTAATTTATCCAAAAAATATCTTGTTAGAAGTTTTGTTAGAATTGATCTATTTTTTAGAACTTTGTTTTGGGGGTTGGGTTGGGGGAGAGGTTGGGGGCAAACCTACTGTGTTTAGGGTTTACTCCTGGCTCTGCATTCAGTGATCACTCCTAATGGGCAAGCACCCTACCTGCTGTACCGTCTCTCCCACCACTAAAATTGATGTATTTAGGACCAGGAATCTGGCTCAGTGGTAAAAAGCACGCCTCAACATGTGTACAGCTCTCCTGCTGCCCAAAATTTACATGTGTCGATTGCTTCGGGCAGGCCCCAGTAACGTCTCTTCGTCCTAGCCCTGAGATTTTTTTTTTTTAAAGTGCCATATTCAAGGCTCTTTCAGAGTTAGGAGAATGAGACCCTTCATTGTTACTGATATTTGGCATATAGGGTACACCACGGGGAGTATACCAGACTCTGCCGTGTGGGCAGGTTACATTCGGTAGCCTGACAGTTTGTCTAAAGTAGGAATGAGATGATAAGATGTCCCGTGGCCGCAAATGTGGCCGCACGCTTCCGTGAGCTGGGTTTTATAGTCTCTGAATCTTGGCCGTTGATGGGATTACAAGGCGCCAGGGGGCCAGTTGGTGGGTGTGACCCCCGCCTACTGGAATTTGGATGATCTGGGTGGAGGATGCCCAGCCCCAATCTGAGTAGACTTGGAGATCTCGGCCCCGGAACCCGCGTGGCTTTGTCCCTCTGCCGGTACCTTCATGTGTGCGGAGAGTGGTCTAAGCATGGTGGTGGCTGGTTCTGGAGGTCTTCGGCTGCCGGAGCCCTGGTCGGGGCAGGGAGGAAAACTCAACCCGCTCCCCTCCAAGGGGCCCCGGTGAGGACAGCCAGGTGCGGGGGCAGGAGACTCTGTATACGTCATTTAAAAAATGTATAGGGCCAGAGAAATAGTACAGCGGGGCGGGGGATTGCCTTGCACACAGATAATCTGGCTTTCCACTCCCAGCATCCTATTTGATTCCCCAAGCCACCAGGAATGATCCCTGATCCCTGAGTACAAAGCCAGGAGTACCCCGAAGCATTGCTGGATGTGGTCCCCAAACCACGCTCCCCCCCCCCCCCCCCACACTGTATTATGTTGTGATAGAAGGCGTCCATGAACATGGTATCTCCACTTGGGTTGTTTGGGGCTTTGGGAAACACCCAGCAGTGATCAGAAGTGACCCCCTGTGGTGCTTAGCAGACCATGCGGTGCCAAGGACTTGGGACCAGGATGCAGCAGCCACGGGCAAGGCAAGTATCTTACCTCCCATACTTTCTCACCCAGTTTGTTTTTCTAAAAGAAGCCATTGTGTAGAGTTTTAGTTTTGGGGTGAGACCTAGTTGTGCTAAGGAACAATGTGTACTATGCCAAAGACTGGGTCTGGGTCTCCAGTCTGCAGTGCCAACTGTTGCATCATGCCAGTCCATTTTGGTTCTTAGGTTAAACCTTGTATGTTATATTAAGATTTAAACCCAAGTGCTGATTGTAATTTTATTAAAAAAATTTCTTATAACGTCTCCATTGTGAGACTCGTTGTTACTGTGTTTGGCATATCAAATACGTAGCAGGTAGCTTGCCAGGCTTTGCGGTGTGGGCAAGATACTCTTGGTAGCTTGCTGGGCTCTCTGGGAGGGGCGAAGGAATCAAACTGGGGTTGGCCAGGTCCACCATGTGCAAGGCAAACGCCCTACCTGCTGTGCTATCACTCCAGCCCAGAAACAATTAAAAAGACAAATTTTTAAAAATAATCTTCATGCTTTCCATTTTTGGGGTGACACTCAGTGGTATCCCAGGGTTAGTCCCAGAGAGACTCGGTGAACTGTGTGGTTCCAGCGATGGAACTTAGGGCTTCCTCATGCTAACTCCAGCCTTGAGTCATCTCTGCAGTTCACTAACTATAGGCATTGTAATTCATTTCTCTTGCTACAATGAACAGGCTAGAATTTCTAGTAGGGTGTTAAGAATGAGTAGCGAGTTGACATCTTTACCTTAAACTCAATTCCAGTAGTACAACACTTGTTCTTTCATCAACAGCTATGATGTGAACTATAGTTTGTGATGCTCAGAAGAACATTCAAATCATTCAATGGATAGATAGAATGGGCCTCTCATACCCAAGTAGGCACACCAGCCCTTTGGCACTATCTTCCCAGCTAAGTGATAAAGAATTTAGAAACTGAGTAAGACCAACCAGAAGAATACAAAACGAAACTTGTAAATAATAACTCAGATTGTACTTGTGGGTTTTTGTTCCTGCTTTTTCGGTCATACCTAACGGTGCACAAGGGGCCTGGCTGGCTCAGGGGGATCATGTGGGATGCCAGGGATGGGACCTAGATTGACTGCATACAAGGCATGCGCCACCCTACCTGCTGTTCTATCTCTCTGGCCCTGGATTGTCCTTAAGAAACATCTGAAATTCACACAAATTGTGGCTGGAGAGATAGCTCAATGGGCGAGCACATGTGTTGCATGCTGGCGGACCTGAGTTTGATCTCCAATGTTCCATACAGGATCCCCTGAGCACTGCCAGGAATGCCCCCCAAGCACAGAGTCAGCCTCTGAGCACTAGATGTGGCTCCCCCAAACAAAATAAAATGCCGCTTAGCACAGGATATGCTGGGGGGGGGGGGGGGGGGGAGGGAGGAATTGAGTTATTTAATAGGGTACAGAATTTTAATTCTGTAAGTTAATTTTTTTTTCTGGCTAAATGTTATGTAACAAATTATACTCTTTTGTTGGGGAGGGGTGGTTCGGCTACATACACCTAGCTAGCGATGATTCCTGCCTCTGCACTCAGGATTTACTCCAGTGCTCAGGGGACTATATGCCATATGAGATGCCAGGGATCAAAACCTGAGTCCACTGCATGTAAGACAAAGGCCCTAACTGGCTGTAATACCTCTCTGTCTCTGTCTCCATGGCCCCAATTGAATATACTTAAAAAACTACTATTTTTTTTTGGGGGGGGGAGGAACACACCAGGATGGTCAAGGGGTTCTCCTAACTCTGCACTCAAGAAATATTCCTGGAGATGCTTAGGGGATCGTATGGGATGCTAGGGATCAAACAATTCAGGTCAGCTGAGTGCATGGCAAATGCCCTACCCACTGTACTATTCTTCTGGCCCCTAGTAAAATGTACATAAAAAGGACTGAAGAGATAGCTCAAAGGGCTCAACACATGTGTTGCATAAAGGAACTCTGGGGTTGACCCCCGGTACTACAAGATCCCCTGAGCTCTACTGGGGGTAATCCTCAAGCAGAGAGCTGGGACTAGTCCCTGAGTACTGCACTGGCATCAAATATTAAAATATAAATGTAATACTAACATATTGTACATCACAAATTTGTTATGTCATATATTTTCAACTAAAAATGGTTAGGATGGCTAAAAAGAAAACTGGACATCTGATATTAAGTTGACAAATGGGAATTTATTTGGTAGAAAAACAACAGAGAATGCCACGGACAGCGCTAGTATGTCTAAAGTACTAAAAATGACAAACAATAACAACACTGAGCCACTGAAAGATACCAAAGTATTTTCCGAACCCAAGAAATCAAATTATACTCAATATGGTGTTAATATCTCTATATATCCCAAAGTACTAATATATGGACATCTGATAGATCAGATTATCCAATATCCAAATCTTCTAGCAATACGTTAATTAACTTATTCATATTCATCTGGCACACCACCAAATATTTTAAAATTTAAATTTCTTGGTTGTGATATATTGATGAATTTATTAAATATACTTAGACCTCTCTATTATACAAAGCTAAATGTACAACTAAATTAGTAAAAAGTGTTCACTGTGGTCTTACAAGAACATTAATATTTGGACAAAAATGCTCAGAATGCATTCTACACTAATATTGTCCTTTTACTTAAATCTAAATCTTTCCTATTTTATAACCAGTTTTATAATTCTTTAAAAAGAAATCTATGCCTTCTTAATTCTTACCAACTCTATTTCATAGGTTAAATTTAGTATAGCTTTATTGGCATCTTGGACTTGCACATATTTTCATTCTGAAACATCAGCAATTGTTCAGAGGCCTAAAATCCAGTATTGGGGATTAACTGTATTACATTAGTTCTAGAAAAAACACTGAAGATTTTCCCCTAAAATATACAGAACACACGCCAAATCTCTTGTTTATACAATAAACTGGTAATATTGGTAAAATGCACATATAGCTTATATTCCCAAAACAGAATAACTTAAATATTTAAATGTACCTTTATGTTACCTCCATAACTGAACTTACACGCATAATAAACAACAATATTCATATAAAAGCCACAAAACTAACTTTAAACGCTGTTGATCCCAGCATACAAACTCTCATCTCCCTATGACCTATTCAAACTACAGACATTTTTTGAGCTACTCTAGTATTTATAACCTAGTTAGAAATTTATACGAAACACAATTTTATGTTCGAATATGGAAATAAGTAACATAATTCCAAAACCTAAAAGTATCCCAGCGTTCTGTAAAAAGAAATATCCCCAGCGGCTACATCCATGGTCACTAGCATCATTGTGCAGCATCTCAGGTACCTTAAAAAAGAAAAAAAAGGCAACATTTAAGTTTCCAAAAACAGTGATTTTGAGAATTTGTGAGGGTGTACTATTAGCTTTAAATATAGCTGAGGGATTCAAACTAGGGTTAGCAGCATTCCTTCTGTATTCTCTCTCCAGCCACTAAGTTAATATTTTGTTGGTTTTTGGGTTAACTCCTGACAGTGCTGAGGAGATCATATGTGGTGTCTGTGACCAAATCTGGGATGCCACATGCAAGGCAAACACCTTAACCACTGTACTAGCTCTCTGGCCCTTGCATTTATTTCTTAAAACATAATCACATATTTTTTGATTTTGGGCTACACCTGGCGGTGCTCAAGGATTACTCTTGGAGGTGCTTGGGGAGCCATATGGGTTGCTGAAGATGGAACCTGGTGGGCCACATGCAAAGCAAACACCCTACCCATTTGTACTATCGTCCTAGCCCCAACCACTCTAGCTAATAATGCCATGCATTAGGTCCTAGCAGATTAATGATTGATTATATTCATTTTCTTTTCAGCAAGCTAAAATTTGGTTCAGCAAGTTAAAACTATACCACTGCAAAACTGAGATCTAAGTCGATTACTATGATATAGTTTAACTGATTACTGCCTATATTTAAAGCGACTGAGACTCACCTAAAGTTCAGAGACATGGAAAAAACTTATACTACAGTATAATTTTAGCAAGAATACTGAATGGTTTCATGAACTTCAATAACAAAATATCTTGCCCGCACGGCAAAGCCTTGGCAAGCTCCCCGTGATGTATTCGATATGCCAAACACAGTAACAACAAGTCTCAAAATGGAGATGCTACTGGCCCGCTCGAGCAGATTGATGAACAACAGGAGGACCATGTTCTGATAAACATTAGGTAGGATAAAGACGTATTTGTAAGCCATTCTTCCAAATAATAATAATATTATTATAACTATATAATAATATAAAAATATATATTTAAATATATGTGACGTATTCGATATGCCAAACACAGTAACAACAAAATTTCACGATGGAGACGTAACTGGGCCCGCTCGAGCAAATCGATGAACAACGGGAGGACTGTGACCGAAAGCTAATATAAGTAATAACTCCAAAGGACCTATGTATTTTACATGCTAGCTAGCTTTCTGAGTAAAAATTACTTACCACCACTACATTTACTCTAAAAGCCTTCTTTAAAAAAATAAGGTTTCACTGAACATTTTTATTGTCAGACAACACTGTATTGACTTGTTTTTGTATCGCACCTGGTGGTGCTCAGGACTTATGATTTGATTCCTTTAAAACTTACCATATCAACCAGAGCAACATACATGAACAAGCCAGCAGTAAGTGCAAAAATCCACATGGAAACATTTTCAGCATAATGGCCGATGAAAATTCCTGTTGCCATTCCAAGATATGCCAACATGGCTGATAAAGCATTGTAAAGAACGGCCTGCTTAACAGTCATGCCCGCCTTGAGTAAAACAGCAAAGTCACCTTTAACAGAGATAAAAGAGAACAGAGGAACTGTAAAGTCATTTTAAGACACATTCCCAGAGATTCACAGACTTAAGAAAATTCATTTTTAAAAAAGGGAAAAATTAAATTATTTAGGGCAAACAACATTAATATAAAGCACGTTACGGCTCAAAAAACAAAGATTTATTTTATCCAAAGATTTTTCTTTAGGCTTCCATTTAGGTCATGATCATGATCACGATCACGACCATCCTGTTATTCGTCGATTACCTCAAGCAGGCCCCAGTAACGTCTCCTTCATCCTAGCCCTGATATTTTTTTTAAAAAGTCCCATATTCAAGGCTCTTTCAGAGTTAGGAGAATGAGACCCATCATTGTTACTGGTATTTGGCCTATTGGGTATGCCACAGGGAGTTTGCCAGACTCTGCCATGTGGGCAGGTTACATTGGGTAGCCTGCCAGTTTGGCTGCATTCGCAGCCGCGCGACATCTTATTATCCCATTTAGGTAATGAATGAAAAATCATGAGTCTATTATTGTGCTCTTGCCCTACAACTGCCCCCCCCCCCAAAGGAACCTACAACTGGCCAAAGAAAAAAAAAGGAATACACACAAAATGATAGGTAAATGAAAAAAGAAACAATAGCTAAGAATTAATGACATTGTATTTATAAAAAAGGTAAAAGTAGATTAAAATGGAAACAGATACGAACATGGACCATGCTAAGGATTATAAACATTGAGCAGGTAGATGGGAGGTTTGCTAATGGCAAGAAAATCTGAAACAAAAGTGAAAGAGGTGGTACCGTTGTGTTTAAATATGTATGAAAATGTGTTTGTAAGAAGGAAAAGAAAAGAACTGAAGTCCAAAGCAGTTCTCAAAAGTTTTAGGGACGGGGGGCAAGAGCGATAGTACAGCAGGTAGGGCGTTTGCCTTGCATGCGGCTGACTCTGGTCCAAGCCCCGGCATCCGGTATGGTCCCCCAAGCACCGCCAAGAGTAATTCCTGAGTGGAGAGCCAGGAGTAACCCATGAGCATTGCTGGGTGTGACCCAAAAAAGGAAAGAAAAAAAAAAAAGTTTAGCGGCTGGTGCAATAGTACAGGAGGTAGGGTTTTTGCCTTGCATGCAAACAAGTGGGTTTAATCTCTAGCATTGCATACAGTCCCAAGCATAGCCTGGAGTGACTCCACCACATCGCCAGGTGAAATCTCAAACCAAAAAAAACAAAGTTTAAATTTTGGCAATAAAGAGGTACAATATTCAAACACTACTGAATTCTCTTTTCTTCAGCTCCAGTAGGATTTTGCCAATTTCTATTTTATGGGAAGACATGACATTACTCACATTCTGTGTACAAAGATAAGGATCACTGATGTCACCAGTGTAGGGACAGGAAGAGATATGGTAAGGAACAAGGACAAAGAGAGGATGCTTAGGCACATCTCAGTGACCCCACATAATTAACTGTGTAGTTGCACCCATGGTCACAATTCTGAGTGAAATAAACCCTGCATTGTCAGTTAGGTTGGCAGATGCATGAGAAGACATGAATGTTGCTGGAACTTACCTAATTCATGAGGCAACTCATGACAAAACACAGCAACAGAAGTACTTAGACCACTTGATAAACCTTCAGTAAAAGCAGCTCCTGCATAAAAAAACATTCAGGATAAGTTAGGCTACTTTATTTTGTGGGCATATTATCAAAAACCTTACCAGCATATTGCTCAGATAGTACAATAGGTAAGGCATGTGCCTTGAATACATTCTGGCTGACTCTGGTTTGATGCCTGGTACTGCATATGGTTCTCGAACATTGCCAGGGATCAGTCTTGAGCACAGAGCTGATAATAGGTTTTGAGCAGCACTAGGTGTGCTCCCCTCCAAATATCTTACCAGCAAATATAAAAGGGAAACAAAACAAAACAACCAACAGTAATTTTCTGGCTGTAAAAAAGATAATTTTCCCAACTCCACTTCTACCTTCTTTGTAAGTAATCTTAGATTAAGTTAAATTTACCTAATAAAAGCAGGTATGAGTGAGAAAGAAAGGTGTTTTCTCATGCCTAAGATACTTCAAGACAAACCTAAGAAGTAATTGCAACCAAATAAAATAATTAAATATACAAACTGATATAAAAGGTTTAAAAATATGAGCCAGAGAGATCGTGTAGTTGGTAGGATGCCTGCTTTACACGCAGTCCACCTGGGTTCGATCCCCAGCATCCCATTTAAACCCCTGAACTCTTCCAGGAGTAATTCCTGAATGCAAAGCCAGGAATAACCCCTGAGCATCACTGGCTGTGGTCCCAAAACAAACAAAAAAACAAAAGCAAATTTATTAGTCAGGTACAAAACATGTTTTGAACTGAAAAGTACAAGAATGTAAGGTGTTTGCCTTGCACATAATGGCAAACATGTTCTCCCCAAGCACCATCAGCAGTGACACCTCCACCTTCATCCCTTTCAAATACAAGAGCTAGGAGTAGGCCCAAAGAACTAACGAGTATGTCTCAAAACCCCAGCAAAACGAAAACAAAACAAAACAAAACAAAAAACAAGAAAAGCCCCATGTTTCATTAGTCTCAGAAGAATTTACTGTGCTTAATTAGACTTGTACACATTTGTTTTTCTAACAGAAAAAAATATTTCCTCAGACTTTTTGGAGGTAGAAATTCACTTTAGTTTGTTTTTAGGGCCACATCCACATGTGGGAGCTGCTCCCCGTGATGCTTGGGGAACCATGTATGTGGCGTTCTGGGGTTTAATCCCAGGGCTTCATGCTTTGAGCTGCTACCTCCCTGGCCCTTTCTAGTTCTTTGAATTATTTTTACGTTCTTTAACTTGTTTGCTTTTTGGTTGTACCTGGCTGTGCCCCACCGAACAGCACTGAACAGGGGACTGTTCAGCAATGCCCAAGTCGTGCAGTGCTTGGAACCAAAACCCAGGGACTCACACAGAGCTTTACTACTGAGTCATATTCCAGCTTTCCCAAATCCCTTTAAAGTGAACATATCATAAAGCTGATCACTTATAAACCAGGACAAGCAATCTGCACTTCCTCCTCTGTTCCTATGCTGTACAAAAGGCAGGATTACCAAGCTCCAGGAAGTCAAGGCCCGAGCGTATATGAGTCTCTAAAACACTGCTGTCTCCTTGAGCAAGACTGTTTCTGTGATTCCGTTTCACACTATTACTAATATTAAGTATTCGCTCTTCACCATGGTACATACAAAACCTAGTAAAAACTATGGGGCTGGAGCAACAGTAGGATGCTTGCCTTGCACACAGCCAACCCAGGTTTGATCCCTGGCACCCCATATGATCTGAGCCCACCATGAATGATTCCTGAGCATCTCTAGGTGTGGCCCCGCCCCCCAAAACATTAGCAAAAATTCTGATTTTTCAGATTGTAAGTGAACCTATGGGGTACATAAAGATTTCTTTAGCATAACAGAAAATTTTTATATTAATAAATGTTATTTGTATTACAAAACTTTAACACGTAGGAGATAAATAAAGTATATACACTATTCTTGCTAAAGCCTGGTCTTAGGATCTTGCAAGTTAAAACAACTCCTCCCTCCCACCCCCATTTGTTTCTGGGCTACTTCCTGCTTGGGGATTCCTCCTAGGAGTACTTAAAGGATCGTGTAATACTGGGGAAATTCTCAGTAGCTTTAAGGGGCCGGAGAGATAGAATAGCAGTAAGGCGCTTGCCCTGCATGCAGCTTAACCGAGTTTGATCCCCAGCATCCCTGAGCACTGCCAGGAGTAATTCCTGAGTTCAGAGTCAGGAGTAACTCCTGAACACCTCTGGGTATTGTGTCAAAACAACAACAAAAATGTAGTTGTATACCAATTGCGAGGCCATCACTGAAGTTGTGCAGTCCATCACCCATTATCACCATCCATGCCAAAGTCGCGATGCCAGCATCTTTCAGCTCCTCCCTCGAGTAGCGCTGGCTGTGACTGTGGGGGTGGTGGTTCTGGTGGTGGTGGTGGTGCAGAATGTGATGGTAGTCATGGTGGTGGTGAATGAGGTCATCGGACTGGCCGAGTGTATCGTGGAAATGAGAGTGGCATTTATTTTTGCACCCTCTGGGCACATATTCATTGTAGACTTCTTGTGGATGAGCATGAGCTATCATGACCTCCTCTTCTTCCAACACTGCTGGCTGTTGAGAATCAAAGTTGGAGGGCTCTTGAGAGTCTGTTCGTAAATAGCCTTCTGATCCTAGGTATAATCATAAAATAAAAGGCTGTTAAGACAAAGTCAAATGCTTTTTGGGGGGGGGGAGGGTTGGGCCCATACCTGGCTATGCTCAAAAGAGATCTGGTGTCTTTCTTTTTTATTTGGGTGAAAGGGTGTGGGTGGCAGGCACACCCAATTGTACTCAGGGCTTATTCCTGGCTGTCTGCTCAAGGGACACTCTTGGTAGGTTTGGAGGCCCGTAGTGGGTCCTTTAGGATTGAATCCAGACTGGACATGGGTAAGGCCTGACCCATTTCTCTCCAACCCCCAGGAAGAGATTTGGAGTCCTAGGGATCAAATCTAGGTCAGCTGCATGCAGGCCAAGTGCCTTACCCATTGTACTATATCACACAGGCTTTGAAAAAATACCAATTGACTTTACTAATAACTATCTGTAAAAAATGGCTTTCTTTTGGGATGGTGCACACCCAGCAATGCTCAGGGGCTATTCCTGGCTCTGCAATCAGGAATCATTCTCAGGAGACTGTATGGGATGCTGGGGATTGAACCTGGGGTTGGCCATGTGCAAGGCAAAAGCCCTACCGGCTGTACTATCACTCTGGCATTTAAGTGTTACTAATAAATACCCCTGAGATCTTCCTTTAATTTCTTCTGTCTCCCTACATTATTTGGGGGTGGAGGGAGAGCATTGCTCAGGAATCTGGGTGCCATGACTGAGTTAGGTGCTTGGGCCTGGTAATGCACGGCTGCTCTGGTATGCAATGATCACCAGGATCATCCTGCAGCCCTCATGGGCCATCAGAGTCAAATCTAGTGGGGCTGGTGGGAGGCAGAACAGTACCTCAAACCCTTTGAGTTATCTTCCTGGCTCCACATCTCCCTACATTTAAATGAATTTCCCCTCCAAGCATAAAAAAAAAAGCACACTTATTTTAGAATTTTTTTAAATATAGAGTATTTAAGAAAAATTTAAAAATGATAAAATGGCAGAAGTTAAAGGAAAATATAAAACACATGAAAACATTTAAGGATAAATGGAAAAATGTGAACTTTCACATCATCATCAGAAAGCATTTATAATTTACACAAAAAAAGTCAATAGCAATGATATGGTTTGTTTTCCTTTTGTCCTGTTTACTAACATCAACTTCCTTGTACCAACATTGTATTTTAATTTTTTTTTCTTGGGAGTTGCTTCCAAGGGTCCTCCGACTATTCACTGCCAGGGAGAGAACCCAGGCTTCCCGCATGCAAAGAAGATGTTTATCCCTTTGAGTTGTTTCTTCAGTCCAATGTAGCCCAGTGCTAAGGCAGCTATTTCCCATCATTATCAAAACATTTCACTGGATTCCATTACAATGACTGGAAAGAGAACAGATATGCTGGACGATAGGCATTTTATTTGGTCTTTAAAGGAAAAAGCATGTTGGAAAACAAAGGTGGACACAAAAGTCCAGAACAAACACAAAATCCCAGAACTGAACACCTACACTAGGCCAGTTGCCACTACTGAGTACCAATTTATATTCTTGTAAAACAACGAACTTCTTATAAGCTACTGAAGATGGAAACACACATATAAATAAAGTATTTCAGGCACTGACAAACGTAGCAGAATAGAAAATAATAATATAAAGAAGGTCTTGTGTCTGTGTGACCGGGAAAGACTTCTGAGAAAAACAAAGCTAAGTTGAGAACTGCACAAGAGGAGGAATTTATGTTGTCATGTTGGGGAAGCATACTCCAAGCAAAGAAACAGCAAGTACCTTGAAACATATCTAGTGAGTTCACAGGATGAAAAGAAAATCAGTAAGGTGGCCAGACTGAACAATTCCTCACATTCTCCACAATGTAGGGAAACAAGAGCACAGAGTAAGATCTTAAAAGGCTCGGATGAGTTTAGTTTTAAATTTTAATTAATTTTACTTATTTTAATTTTTTTGTTTTTGTTTTTTTTTGGGTCACACCGGTGATGCTCAGGGGTTACTCCTGGCTCTGCACTCAGGAATTATTCCTGGCGGTGGCTCGGGGGCTCAGATGGGATGCTGGGGATCTAATCCAGGTTGGCCATATATAAGGCAAACACCCTACCTGCTGTACTATTGGTCTGGCCCCAGTTTTAATTTTTAATCTTAACAGAGTTCAACAGAAATGCCAACCTAAGAGTTAAATTATTGTGGAAACAAAAATTTCAGCCATCCCAATTTTTTAATTCTGAATTTACCTAAAAACAAAAACAATCAAAACCAAGAAAACAAAACAAAACAAAACAACCCATGGCGATGGGGAGGTGAGGGGACAAAATACATGTAGAAATAATCAATTCCCAAGCATTACAAAAAGTATAAGGAATTGAACTGGGTCAGCTGCATGCAAGGCAAGCACTTCACCTGTTATACTATCTCTCTGCTTCCCCAAAGTGTGATATATTAAAAAAAAAAGTATGTCTTTCAGTCTAAGATGCCTGCAAATTACAGAGTAATGAACTCTGTCCTGCCCTTAGATTCACTTAGACTTACGATCATCAGTATCCACTTTCTCCTCATTTGTTGAAAGTTGAGATTCATACTTGGACAACTGCTTCTTAATCTCCACATCATCATCACTTTCGGGTTTTTTCTGATTCTAAAATGGCAAGGGAAAACAAAACTGTAAAACAGTTCATTTGTTTGAACCTACAGTTTTAAGTAGTTAAGCAAAAGATTTCGTAGATAAAGAACCGAGAATGTTGCTTATTGGCAGAATTTGCCTTGCATGAGTGTAAAAATGTAAGTTTGATCTTAATATGGTCAAGGGAAAGAAAAAGATTTCACAGAAAAAGACATAGAAAAACTGACTTCTTTAGGAACCAAATCCCTCTCAGGGCAAGACCTATGCTAGAACAGTATCTGATAGTGTTTTCGGTATAGTAACTTCACAGAGGTGAACAATAAATAGCTCAGTAATATGAATGTAGAAAAATCATCTTTTTATCTTTTTGAACACCTTCTACATTCTGCTGCGTTTGGTCTTATGCAGGCAGTAGAGAACTCCCCCAGGGAGCATGTTAGAAATGCATCATCTCATGGAGATAGAACAATGGTACAGCAGTTAGGGTGCTTGCCTTGCACCTGGCTGATCAGGTTTGATTCTCATATAGTCCCCCAAGCCTGCCAGCAATGAGTGCAGAGCCAGGAGTAAGTCCTGAATATCATCCGGGTGTGGCCCCCAAATGAAACAAAACAAAAAGATTAAATGCAGCTGGGAATAAAACTGATGACCTCACACTTCTGAGGCCACCTACCCAAGCCCCAACACTGGCATGTAGGTAAGTTTTTTTTTTTTTTGCTTTTTGGGTCACACCCGCCGGTGATGCACAGGGGTTACTCCTGGCTCTGCGCTCAAGAATTACCCCTGGCAGTGCTCAGGGGACCATATGGGATGCTGGGAATCGAACCCCGGTTGGTCATGTGCAAGGCCCTACCCGCTGTGCTACTGCTCCAGCCCCTAGGTAAGTTATTTTTACTTCATTTTATCCCATTAAATTTAGATTCAATATCTGAAAAGACACTACAGTTGGTTGGTCGCAACCCAGGCTGAATCCTTTGCACTCTGTACATTTCGCCAAACCCTGTCAAGAGTACTCACTGAGCAAAGAGCCAGGAGTGAGCCCTGAGCACTGCTGGGTGAGGTCCAAAAACAAAACGAAACAAAACAGGTTTAACTTTTGCAATAAAGATTGCTGTAAAGGTGAAAAAACCAGAAGACAAATATTCAGACTGGAGAAGGCTTCCTTCCTGTTCATACACGTACTTGTTCTGCAGCAAGTTCTATTCTCATCAGCAAGAACCTACTATGTTGGTTTTCAAACCTCTTTATGCCAGTTATGCTTGTTATTAAATAGTACAATTTAATTACATCTTGCTCAAACGATGAAATCATGGTGAGAATAGTCACTTTATAAAGACTTGGGATGAGTGCTTTAAAAAATTTTAAAGGGAAGTTCCAAGAAGTTACTAAATAATGTGAAACAATCACTATCTTAAAAAGAAAAAATTGCTGTTTGGGGGCCATACTTCGCTCTGTGTTCAGGGGTCTGGCAGTGGCTAGAGGGGCAATACTTAAGAGTTGGGGATCAAACCTGATCGGCTGTGAGTAAAGATAGTTGCCTTATTCCTGTACCATCTTCTGGTTCTTCTAAGATCTTTAACATTTTCAAAACCTAGCTCACCTAGCTTGCCGAGCTTGTAAGTATGAGGCCATGAGTGTAATCCCGGGTACTATGCCATAGACATTAAACTTAATCCCCGTGGCACAATCCTTTGAGATTCCCAGCTCTACACCAAGAGAGGAGCACAGTCAGAAGAGTTAACTTCAAGCAAGTATCACAATATCAGCTTTGTGAAAATCACAAACAAGTGTGTATGACCCTGCTCGTGGCAGCAATCATATCCTCCAACCAAATAAAGGGGAGAGAGGTTTGTGGATGGAGAATGAAAAAAAAAAAAAAAACCCCTAAATCTAGATGATTTATTTTGGGACAACTCTGGGTTTGCACACAAGGATCACTAGTGATAATGTTCCACAGACCACAGATGGTGCTAGGGATCATTCCCATGTTAGCTGCGTGCAAGGTAAGTACCCTGTCTGCTGTACTATTGCTCCAGTCCCCACGAAAATCTAGACTGTACACTCAAATAACAAAACAGCATTACAGGGCTGGAGAGAGCTCAAAGGCATGAACACATGCTTTGTATGTGGAAGTCCAGGTTTCATTCCTAACACCAAATGGTCTCAGAGAACCCCTTGGAGTGATCTCCTAACACAGAACCAGGAGAAGCACCTAAGCACCATCAGAGGCCGAAAAACAAAAACAACAAAAAGCATTACAAATATAATCTTACTCAATTTTAGAGAAACAAAGCTGGAAATTGAGACGACGCAGCAGACGTAATACAGAAAAGAAAAAAAAACCCTAAAATAAGAAAACCCCAAAACAATCCCTGATTGTACTCAACTCACCAGATTCTGATTCAAAAAAATTATTGTTCAGCATGAAATGAGTATACAACAGAATACTAACATACAATTTTTTTTCCCCTGGGGGAGGGGGCCCTCAATGGTACTCTTGGCTTGGTGCTCAAAAAGTGCTCTGTGTTGCTTGGGTGACCATGTGGTGCCCAGGGATTGAACCTTGGCATCCTGTGTACAAAGCATGTGCTCCAGTTCTCTGAGTCATATCCTTGGCTCTTGTACAAATGCTTTAAATTAAAATGCTTTAGCACTTGTCTTGCACAAAGCCAAGAGTCACACCCAGCAGTGCTCAAGGCTTATTCCTGGATCTGCACTCAGGAATCATTCCTGGGGAATCTCTAAGGACCATTTGGGGTGCCAGGGAATAACCTACCCACTGTAAACATTTTTCTGCCCCTAAAACAGTCTTTTGACTGACTTACCCAGTTATATATAAGATAAACAAGAGTCACCAAGAGGTGGTGACTGTAAAGATATGTTTATCAGAAAAAAAAAAAAAAGCCTTCCTACCATTAGGCTTCCCGGGGATATTTTGAAATGGGCAAGATTGTGAAAGTCACATACTCTTTGAAACAAAAGAATACTCAGGAGCTGGAGAGAGTACAGCAGGTAGGGCACTTGCTTTGCAAGCAGCTGACACAGTTTGATCCCTGGCATCCCATATGGTCTCCTGAGCACTACCAGGAGTAATTCCTGAGTGCATAGCTAGGAGTAAACCGTGAGCATCACTGGGTGTGGCTCCAAAACAAAAACAAAATAGAAAAGAAAAATGCAGTTTGCATATTATAAGTCATATATGCTTGGGGATAAATAAGCACCTATCACTACCATCAAGGCCATCATCACAATGCTTCTGGTCTTTAAGGCCTTAAAGGTCTCTCTTGGGCCTTAAAATCAATGTTTGTCCTTGCTTTCTTACTCTCACGAATTTGAAAGGAATACTGGAGACAGGAAACTACAGGATTATTAGGATACAAAATTTGTCTTTATGACAGCTATAATCTCCAGGAGCAAAGAGTATTTTACTTGTACTCAACTTGTTTTCAAATGAAGGTCATATACTCTGGACAAGCTCTGGTAACAGTCCAGTTAACAAACTACTTTAAAGAAATGTCTGATGCACAGAAAATACTCAGCCTGCTTTTTTTCCTTACCTTTTTCTTCTTATCTTTAAATTGCTTGATCAATGTGAGGACATGTTCAACAAGAAACATGAAATACAAGCCTCCTAGAGCTGTCAGCCCCTTCCAGGTGGAATCAAAATAGGCATTTTCCTCGAGGTCTTGAGCTGATAGGTGACTGAAAAGTGGTCCCCTCTTCATTTCTATCGCTGTCTCTTCATGGTTGTGACTATGGTGGTGACTTGCATGAGACTAAAGGTAAAACAAATGTGTTCCATAGATTGTGTTCTAAAGATTGATTAGTTTCACACATCAGCAAACTCGGCTAAAATAGTAAGGTTGAATTTGAAATCATCCAGAATCAAGCAAATAATGAGATACGTCACAACTGTCTTGTTTAAAACATTAAAAACAGGGGCTGGGGATGTGGTAGGGCAGATATAGCACACTGCTGGGTGTGGCCCCAGTGGTCATTGACATACTAGGAGCAGTCCTCATAATAAAGAGTAAAACCAAATACTCACCAGGTAGCACTGTAGCACTGTCCTCCCACTGTTCATCGATTTGCTCAAGTGGTCCCAGTAATGTCTCCATCGTGAGACTTTTTGTTACTGTGTTTGGCATATCCAATACATCACGGGGAGCTTGCCAGACTTGGCCGTGCGGGCGAGATACTCTCGGTAGCTTGCCGGGCTCTCCGAGAGGGGCGGAGGAATTGAACCTGGCTCACTGGGGCCAGCCACGCGCAAGGCAAACACCCTACCGCTGTGGTAGCTAACTGTATAATGTCTATTATACCAGCTTAGTAGTGTGTATACTGTACTTAGACACTTAGAGTAGATCTGCTTAGGGTAAAGACAGATACATTGCCCAGTGGACTCATACAGCATCATCAGTGTGCTTACAAGGTTTGTATGATGAGTCCTGATAGGTGCTGGAGACCAAGAGCACGTCATTATTCCCTTGTCCCTGTACACCAACCCTAACCTCAGTCCACAGCCAAGTGGCACAGGAACCACTACTACTGCATAGGGAACAGGGTGTGATGCATAATAACGAGAATAGGGCATGTGGTAAGTATCCAAGAGCACACCTTAGGTACATACTGTTTTCTGCAGTAGGTATTTTTGAACATCTACTATATCTAGTGTTCAGAGAGCTCACAATAGCAAAACAATTTTCTTTCATTAGAGAGTGGAACATAAGATGTACAGTGCTCAAGAAGGATCCCAATTCTCTTATTTGCCAAAGTCTACTACAAGGTGACAAAATTACAAACTTTTTTTTGTTGTTTGTTTTTAAATGTTTTTTTGGCTTTGGGGCCACATCCAGCAATGCTCCGGTACCATATGGGATGCCAGGATCAAACTTAGGCTGGCCACATGCAACGCAAACACCTTAACTACACTTTATTACTGCTTTAGGCCCTAGATCCAAACCTTTTTTTTTTCTTTTTGGGTCACACCCAGCAATGCTCAGGGGTTACTCCTGGCTTTGCATTCAGGAATTACTCCTGGAGGTGCTTGGGGGACCATATGGAATGCCGGGGACCAAACCCGGGTAGGCCGCATGCAAGGCAAACGGCCTACCCGCTGTGCTATCACTCTAGCCCCAATCATTTTTTTTTTAATCTTAAAGAATCACCGTGAGATAGCTATAGACTTATAAATTTCCATGATTGCGCTTCAATCAAACAATGTTTGAGTAGCTCCAAATATTTTCTGTCTGACCATCGAACCCAAATATTTGATGGGAATACTGAAACACCTTTACAAACTTACTTTTATCTCAGCATTTACTTAAGTCATAAAGTATAAATCTCAACATACATGTCTTTTTAATTCTGAGGAATATATAAAAACCCTAAGGGAAAATTCTTAGGTTCCCTGGGGGTTTTAAATTGCTGGGGCAATTATAATGAAAAGTAAGCAGATAATTCATTGTTGGCTGGAGCAATAGCACAGAGGGTAGGTCGTTTGCCTTGCATGTGGCTGACCTGGGTTCGATTCCTCCACCCCTCCTGGAGAGCCTGGCAAGCTACCGAGAGCATCTCGCTTAACGGCAAAGCCTGGCGAGGTACCCGTGACGTATTCAATATGCCAAAAACAGTAACAACAGATCTCATAATTTGTTGAGAGACATTACTGGTGCCGGCCCGAACAAAATTAATGAACAACGGGGGGACAGTGCTACAGTGCTAGTCCGTTATAGAACTAATATTTGAGTAGAATGTTTCCTCTTATTAATGAGTCCAAAAGTTAATCTATATTTAATACATTTTCTTAAAGAGAAAAGCAGAAACAGGGCTGAAGTAATAGTGCAGCAGGCAGGATATTAGCCTTGCCTGTGGCCAACCCAGGTCTGGTCCCCAGAGCCCTCTAGGAATAATCCCTGAGCACAAAGCCAAGAATAAGCCTGAGGACTGCTGGATGTGGCCCCAAATCCCCAAAACTAAAAACAAACAAACAAACCTACAACTTTGGGGGCCAGAATGATTGTACCGCAGGTAGCATTGTCTTGCACATTCCAAGCAGGATTCAATTCCCAGCATTCGTCCCATAAGGTCCCCCAAGCACTACTAGGAATGATTCTTGAGTGCGGAGCAGCAGGTGGGTGTGGCCCAAGGAAAAAAAATAAAATCCCCCCAAAAAGAAAAAAGCAAAAGCAATGAATATGTGTTGAGTTCTAGCACAAAGCCAGGGATGGGTCTCAGAAGGAAAGGGCATGCTGCATGTGCAAGTGATATGTGCTTGGCAGTGATCCAGGGACAACCAAAAAAGAAAAAGGAAGAAAAGAAAGAGCACATTCAGAGGTGCTTAGGGGTCATTCCTGGCAGTGGTTGGAGGGCCCTAAAAAGTGTCAGGGATTGAACAGTGTTCAGCCACGTGCAAGACAAGCACCTAATTCCTGTACTACCTCTCCATTCAAAAATAAAGCTTTCAATTGCTAAATATACTGTAAAATCAACTCCTCTTAAAAACAAATTTCTAACAAATTGCCCCAAAGGTACTAAACTCAGGTCTCACACCAAACTAGGTGCATGCTCTGCCTAACCAGAAGCAATAACCAATGATATATATTAATACAAAGAATTTTAGTATAAACCCAAATATTATGTTTATATACGCAAACAAATTTATAATTTCAATACTGAATAAAACATAATAGGAAAAATGACTATACTTACATGAGGAAGTAGATGTAAGAAAGCATCACCACTCAGTGTTCCAACAGCTAATGCCACAAGAAAACTTAGGAGAAATTTGAAAAACACTCGATTCATAAGAGGTACTAAGATAACACCCAGCAAAGACAGGAAACTGATGATGGAAATGGCTATAAAGCCACCGACCCAGGCTGTAAAACACAGTAAAAGAAGAAGAAGAAAAAAAAAAATCAAACAATTGATAAATAAAACTACTTCTTAAAAAAATATATACTCAGTGGTGTGCTCTGGGTCCTGGGTCTGCACTTGGTAGTACTCAGGCAGCTATGCAGTGCTAGATACCAAACTCGGGCCTCACACAAAGGAGGCATGTGCTCTGCCACATAAGCTATCTCTCTGGCTCAGAAATTGCTAAGAGAGATTTCAGAATAGCATTAGCACTGTAAAAATGGGAAAAGCTATAAAAATACATACTGAATAATAGGACTGCGGTACCAGAGCAACAATCAATTATCAATAAATCTGTTGTTGGCTCAAATGAACAATGGGATTTAACCCTCTAGGTAAAGACTTAAGTGGGAAATTCCTGAGATGGAGGTGAATGGAGGGGAAGAAAGTTACAAAGGAGTAATTCTAATTCACTTTGTTAAATAACCTCGAAGACTCTCTTAACAGAAAAATTATGAAAGAGAAAAATGATTTTCATTTATTAATTCGAACATACCAGAATTAGATTCACAAAAGGTAGAAACTATTCTGACCATCCCCCTATAAGGAGTGAGGAATCTTTTTTTCTGTCAAGGGCCATTTGAGTAGTTATAGCATCATTTGTAGGCCATAAAATTCAGGCAAAGGGCTATATGAGTAGCCTTGTGTCTGCTCCATCACACACCAGGGTCAGACCACAAGACTTCACAGGGCTGGACCCTTCTTAACCCTCAAACAGTATGGCACATACAAAAAAAGATGAAATCTGAATGACCCTAATGCGTCCTATTGGGTAACTTCAAGTAAGTCACAACTGACCCAAAGGAGGGAGGCCAAAACAAAGTTACAAATCTAAGTTATTTTGTGTTATTTCTGGCTTGGGGGTATACCTTTGGTACTCAGGTTTATTCCTGATGAGGCTTGGAGGACCAAAAGAGAGCTGGGTCAGTTGCATGCAAGGGAAATTAAGATGTGTATCCATTGTAAATTATTTTTACATAAAAACAAGTTATTTTACCTATTTGTAAAGAATGGGTCTTTGGAGGAACTTCAGTCTTTTTTTCACTACTGGTGTGAACCAGACAGGATCGAGCATCAATTTGGTTGATGATGGCTGGGCAGAGATAGCTGAACTGTGTTGCATTCAGCAGAACCTGGATGCCAATGCCATGAGAGGTAAGCAGTTTTGACGCGTTGAAACACTGAAGGAAACAAAGCAGTAAAGACTAATGAAAAGAGGTTCCAAAAGAAAATTCACGAAGTATCAGATTACACAACACATTTTCCTTACTGAAGCTGCTTAATTTTTTTTTTTAAGTTAAAGCAAACTAAAATCAACTTTAGTTTTAAGTACTTTGGAATTTGCCTCAAGCTACCTGGAGACACTGTCACAAAGGTGGTATCCCACATCTTCCTGGGAGAAGCTATTGCATCAGTCACCCAGGGAAAAAGCCTCAAGTGGAATAACCTTGAGGGTGAATAGACATTCACAAGCCTGTTAACTCATTGTATAAACCTATTAAGGAAATGAGTTTTAATTTCAAGACAGAGTTCATTAGTGATTGAGAAACACGTTGTTTTAGTACTAACGCTATCCTATCTAGTCTAAACAAGTTCAAGGCATGTTACTCTTTCAGGAGTGATCATACTTGCAAAACTAAACTCAGTTCTGTCCACATACCTAATAAAAATCTTCTATTAGCGAGTGAATATGAAATTATGTCGTTTACTCTTGGGGAGGGTAAGACTGTTAATAAAACAAACCTGTACTGGCAGGCAGCTATTTCAACAATTTAATGAGATGAAAAACCTGGTTGTAAGAGATTCTCCTCTGGAGAATCTCACCAGTCTCTTCTCTTAAAATTGGCGGTACTTATTTCTGATCTTTTGCAAAGTTACTTTAAACTCCCACAATTTTTGCCCAATACAACTCGCACAAACTTCATTAATGGTATCACTATAGAAATGATTATCAGGATTAATTCAGAATATAGCTATGTGAAGACATGAAGTTATTTAGATTTTGCTTATTAACATAAACCTGTTCTTGCTATCTTTCAGCCAAGACAGAATGTGTAGTCTAGAAGTTTAGTTCTAGGAAAGCCCCCCCATAAAATCAGAAGCTCACTGCCCAGGCTTTTCACATGTCCACCCCCTCTTCCACTGTAGCCGTTTTAATTTCAATTACCTCACAATTCATGAGATCCCTCTGACAGTCCCTGCTCTCCTGTTTTTCTACGCCTTCAAGCACACAATGCACTAAAACTTTGCCTTGTGAACCGTTCTATTTTTTACTGATAACATTTTTTTAAATTGTTTTTAGGTCACATACCCTGCAGTGCTCAAAGGTTACTCCTGGCTTTGCACACAGGATTCATCCCAGGCAGGGGCTGGGAAACCAAATGGGAAACCAGGGGATAGAACCCAGGTCAGCTGCAAGCAAGGCAAGGGCCTTACCTGCTGTATTCTCTCTCCAGACCTCATAATTTTTTATTTTAACAGACACAGTTACAAAGTTGTTGGATGAGGTTTCAGTCATACAATGTTACAACACAAGTCCTTTCAACAGTGTTCATTTCCCATGACCCTGTGCCCCCCCCCACCCCCCCAGCCTTAGGCGGCCTCTGGCAGGCATTTTTCTTCTTTATCTCAAACTCTCTTTCCTTTTGAAAGCCTCATTCAAAAAATACCAAAACTGGAGGGGTAGAGGCCGGAGAGACAGTACAGCAGGCAAAGCATTTTGTGGCCAACCCAGGTTCAATCCCCAGCACCCCAACACAGTTCCTTGAGCACCACCACCAGGACACCAAGAGTAATTCCTGAGTGCAGGGCCAGAAGTAACCCCTGAGAACTGCTGGGTATAGCCCAAAAACAAAATCAAAATAAAACAAAAAAATTAAATTGTTTTTTGTGGCGTAAATGAGCTTACTCCTCCCCTCAACAGTCATCTTTAAATATTTTCTCCAAAAATAAGCTTAATACCAGCTTTCTAAACAGAGTCTTTATTAGAAATTTTAGCAGCTATCTAAAATCTATGCCTTTGGTAGGAATGGTTGAATGGTTTCCAACATTAGTAGGAATACTCTGAGCCAAGTGCCTAGGTGAGAAAGTAAAGGATCCCCTTTCAAAGTCATTATTTTCACTTTAAACTCCTTTGAACTCAAGATAAATGGCAATGGCAGGAAAGATAAATAGGCACATACTGATTAAAATAACAACAGCACTCATCTTACCTCCTGTGAGTTTTCGTTTGTGTTTCTGGAATACATAAAGCCCTTTCGGGGTTCACTCATAGATTCATTTGTTATTCTACTAGCCAGTCGGATCACCTGGCTTTTTTCTGTGATACTTGGTGGCGTGGAACTGCTCACATCTTTGGGTGAAAGTTTTCCAGGCTTTGGAGTTTCAATTGTCTCTAGAAAGTGAGTTCCTTCAGAGATAACATTATCTACAGTTGAGGTGACTTTACTACCACCAATTCCATCCTTGGTTAAGACATTCCGTCTATTATTCGTACGTTCTGATCGGTGAGATCCTTTTCCCTGGCTGGACTTGGGGTCTTTACCCGAACTATCAGAGTCTGGGCAGAGAGCCTTGCGGTGATTCTTACTGGAAGCAGCATGATTACGATGAGAGTGATGATCATGGTCAGAGTGATGATCATGGTCAGAGTGATGATCATGGTCAGAGTGATGATCATGATCAGAGTGATGATCATGGTCATGGCGGATATGAATCCTCTTGATTTTATCTATGCCTATATTTTGAAGCAATTTTCTGAAACCTTCAACTGACAAGGAGTTATTCTCTCCATAGCGATGGAAAAGCTGCTGTAGATGGTATCGTCGTGTGGTAACTGCCAAGTCAACATTAACGCTGGACTCCCAATTTGAAATAACGTTCTCAGTGGTAGGAAAAGCAGTTGCTGGTTCTACTTCATGAAGGGGATTTGTGACTGACAAGGCAAAGGTCAGGATCAAGATTACAGATAAATTCCTCGCCATTGCACTTTCCTAGAGAAGACAAAGAAAGAAAATTCTAGTCTTCACTTCTAAAACAATTTAATTAATCTCACAATGAAAATCCTTAGTCTACTCAAGTAAGGTTTAGGAGCAGCATTTGGAGTGCTAAGTACAGTACTCGCTTACTGTGAAAATACAGAGAAACAGAATCTAAGGCTTGCTTCCAGAAATACACGAAACAACTGAAATCTCAGTATGACAAAATTGAATTTCCTTCTTAAACTTCATACAAATCAATTTAGGGCTTCTTACTCCAAATCCACTCCTCAGATACTTTATTAGTTTCTTGTGCATTTCCCTGATTTACCTGGCCATTTTATTTTTTGTTTTTCTGGGCCACACCTAGCTGCTCTCAGGGTTTTCTCTCAGTTCTGCACTTAGGAACCACTCCTGGCAGGACGCTGGGGACCTTACTGTGGTGCCAGGGAGCAATCAGGGTTTGCTCTGTGCAAGGCAAGGGCCCTGTCTGCTGAACTATCTCTCTGGCCAATGCATACTCAACAGATGTGCACTTTATTTTTCTAATTTTTTTTTGGGGGGGGGAGTTGAGACCAGACCTGGAGGGATGGATAATCTGTCCCTGATTTTGTGCTTATGTGCCAAAGATCAAACCCCTGAGAACTCCTGCACACAAGTTTGAAGTAGCTCTCAACAATTCACCAAATGTACTTTAACCACACATAGGACAAATTTCCACCTAATCTCTTTCTCCCACTCAACAAAAGACATCCTTCCATGTCAGAAAACAGATATGGCTTCATCTCATTCTTCTGAATGACTGCATCCCAGTAATTTGGGAGCTGGAGAAATAGTAGAGGGGGTAGGCACTTGCCTTGCACAGGGTAGACCCAGGTTCAAACCTGGACATGGCATATGGTCCCCCAATCACCACCAGGAGTAATAGCAGAGCACAAAGCTAGGAGTAAGTCCTGAGCAAACCACTGGGTGTGGCACACAAACAAAAACAAGTAATAAAAAAACCCCACATCCATATGTTGCTATAAATCAGGGAAAAACGTTATCATCCTAGACGATCACTCATCCATACAACCGGATCCACAAACCTAAGTCCCGGCAGGAGTTGGGAATTGAGTTGGGCCTTGAAAAACTAAATTCACTGAAGTAAAGGAGAGAACAGTGCAGAAAAAGGAGTCATCCAGAGGACTCACGATCAATTTCATCGGCCTCCAGCAAAAGACGCAGAGGGTAGGTTCTGCTGCAGTCAAAGAGCACGGGTGAGGGGCAACCTCGCGGTGCCGCTTCCAGCTGAATTTGCCCTGGCTAGGAAAAAGCTGCCGGCATGTATTTACAGGGGCGCCCAGGCAACCTCGTTCAAAAACTCCGTGTGCTCCGGCAAACTTTTGTGTGGCATCACAGCAAACCGTGGAAAAGGGGACGTATCCAACCACCACCGCACCGGGCTCCTGAATCTTAAAGGCCCCCAAGTTTTTGGAACTCGGTTGATACGCAATAAAAGGCCGCTCCGAATCTTTCACAGGTGAAGGGAAAAAGAAACAAACAAACGGGGGAGAGGATTCTGGAAGGCAGATGCCTGCATCTCCGCGTCTCTGCGAGGCGATGCATAAGGCGACTGCGGACCAGCGGGCGGGTCTCACCTCTGCTGGTCCGCGTGTTGCAGCAAGGGGAAAATCTTTTATTTTTTTCTAAAAAAAAAAAAAAAAAAGGCCGAAAAGGACAAAGGCGGGTGAGAGAGCGAAGAACCCCCGGGCGAGAGGCTCCGAGAGCGCTTCCAGGGGCGGGGGCTTTGTCTCGTCCCACACGGCAGTCCCTCCGTCGTCGGTTCCGCGAGGAACACGAACCGTCTCGCCGGCAAGTCCTCCGCGGGACGCCCCAAGCCCAGGTCCGCGGCCCCGGCTCCCCGGGGCCGGTCCCCGCGAGACTCACCTCTCCGGCGGCCTCGCCGCCCCACGGCCCGGCCCCGCGTGCTGCTCCGGCTCCCCGCGACCGCTCCGCAAGGGCTGCGGGACCGGCCCGCGCTTCTCTTTCTCGAAGCTTCCACGGGGTCCGGGGTCGCCGAGCCCCCTCCGCTCCTCGGGCGCTCAGCCCGGGATGCCGCGCTCCGTCGCCGCCTCCCTTACAGCAGCAGCGGGAGGACAATTAGGAATTAGCGCCGCGCGCCAGGGACCCGCCGCCTCCGCCGGCCATGCCGGCCGGGCATGCGCACTGTGGCTCCGAGCCCGCCTCGCCGCAGCCGCCGCCGCCGCCGGGGCAGCGTGTCCGCCGCTTCAGGCCTCGGCGCCGCGGGAGGGGCGGGAGGGACGGTGAAGGGGCGGCAGGGTGTGTGGGTGGGAGAGGGGGTTGCAGGCTCCGCGCGAGCCGCTCGGGCCGGGAACGCCGAGAACCAGCTCGGGAGGGCTCGGTGGTCCTCGGGTCCCTCGGCGCCGCCTCCCCTCAGCCAGCAGGGAAGTTCGGCCGTGAGAGACAAAGGGAGACGCCTGACGTGGCAGCGGCGCCGGCTCCCGGAGTTTCCGTGGAGGGGTGTCGAGCCCCTCGGGTGGGGACGTGGCTCCGGAGGCGGAGGCCGAGCCCCGTGTGCGGACCCCCGGGCCAGCAGCGGCGCGGGAGGAGGAGGAGAAGGAGGAGGCGGAGGCGGAGGCGGTGTCCGAGCGCCGTGGACCGCTGAGGGGGCGGCGCCGCCTCCGCCGCGCCCCGCCCCCGGCGGCGCCCGGAACGCGGGCGGGAGGGGAGGGGCGGGGAGGGGAGGCGCGGCGGCCGCGGCCGGAGTTCCGCTCGGCGGGCGGAAGTGCGCGCCCGGGCCGTGGGCGCCTCGGCCGAGCCCGCCGACAGCATGGTGGCCCCCGCGCTGCTGCAGACGGCGCACGTGTTCTGCTGCCCGAACCGGGTGCGAGGGGCGCTGAGCTGGAGCTCGGGGCCCGCGGGCCTGCTGGCCTTCGGCACGTCCTGTTCCGTGGTGCTCTACGACCCTCAAGTAAGCGCGGCCGGCCGCCCCGGGGGCGGGGGGCGCCGCCGTCGCGCGCGCCGGGGTCGGGGCAGGCGCATAGGATGCGGCCCCCCGACGGAGGAGGCCGGGCTGTGGGCCTCAGTCAGCCCGCCAGCTTGGCGGCCCTCGTCTGTGGTCTGGGGGGGGGTCCCCCCCGGGCCCCGCGGCCTGCGCTTGACGCCCATCCGGAGGCCCTCGACCCCGGGAAAGCGGCCAAACGTGCGGGTTCGTCAGACGGGCGCTTCCGGTGGTTGCATTCCTCCGCTCGTCGGACACACGGTGTGCTCACGTCAATGCCTTTGACGTCGCGATGCCTAATAAACTTGTTCGTGTGTGTTGAAGTTCCAAGAGGCCAGGGCTGCGGGAGGCACCTTTGATGGTTCCGTTGGGGGAAGGAGGGTTGGAGGGGTGTGTGTGTGCAAGGGTTGGAAGGATCCCAGGCGCTCCTGGTAGGGCAGGATGCGGGCTCATGTCGTCAGTGGATTGTTTTCTTTCTCGACGAGGCACTGCGCAAGTCCTTTGCAGAGTTCCTTTATGGCCCTGTTCCCACACTCGGCTTCTAGACAATAAAGTTAGTGATGCTCGTCAGAAAAGGAGCCTGCTAGTATAAGAAAAAAAAGAAAAAGTAAAATAGTAAAATGCTGAGAATGAAAATGCAGCGCAGAGGGGTAGCTATGTATATATACATCTATATGCATTTTATAGCATTGCTTTGCATTCTCAGTTTTGACTTGGCATAACTCAAATTTGTATGTGAAATGTTTGTGTTCCTATTCATGTCTGGAGCTTGCTTGCCACCTTCTGGTTTAGTTTTGTTACTGCCGTGCACCCTCCGAGGGTGGCCCACTTGGCAGAGACTGAACTAGCTGGTTAGAAACCCCGTATTTCTGCAGCTATTTAATGGATTTATGCCTTTGCCTTCCGTCACACTTTCATATTTAATGATAACACATGTTAGGGGGCATTTTAATATGTAAGCAGCATATACTGTTGTTGTGGGTAGGGCGTTTGCCTTGCACCACCAACTCAGGTTTGATCACTGGCATTTCATAAGGTTTCCCCACTGTCAGGAGTAATTCCTGAGTGTAGAGCCAGGAATAATCCCTGAGCATCGAAGGATGTGAGCCTCCCTCCTCCCCGCCCCCCCCCCCCCAAAAAAAAACCCCAAAAAGCCCTTGAAATTGATACTTGCTGATTGGGCTTTTAAAACTCTTAGTTACCAAGAAATTTTTGTCGAGGGGGCTAGAAAAGAGAGTACAGCAGTCTGGGTGTCAGCCTTGTACGTGGTGGACACGAGTTGTATTCCCAGCAACCTGTATGGTGGTTCTGAGCACAGTAGGAGTGAGCCTTGAGCATCACCGGATGTGGCCTCAAAACAATAAGTCTTCGGTTTAGTGAGACAATGAAATATTTTAAGTTGTTTTCCTAGCGTCAATACCCATATGTGAAATATATTGGTTCGTGCACATTTACCTCTTTGTATTTTTCTGTTGTAATTCTAATTGTTCTAGTGCAGATAATGAAGCCAGTGCTTTTGGCAATAAAGGGCTATAAAGAGGAGGGCGCTGCAGTTACAAGAGTTAAGAAAAGTAGTGGTAGGTTGAAGTTAAAATCAGATGTGGAGTGGTGCTGGTGGAAATGGCAGACTGAGGGTCTAATGGGAACTTGGCCTTGGGATCTGTCCTGGAAAGAACTTAGTTGCTGTGGTCTGATGGACCTTTAGTGTTTAAGGCGGGAGAACCCACTGCTTGATCAGCTCTAACAAGCACACTGAGCCATCCATTGATTTATATCTATTGGTCACGAATTCATCTATTGTTGGATAACAAATCTCTCAAATTGTTGCAGCATAGCAGAAAGAGATCCTTAAATCTATGGTAGTCTACGAACACCACTAGTAGTAACCTCTGAGCATTGCCTGTGGGAGTCCAGCCTGGGGTGTTAGGATAGGCTGCCTTACTAAGAAGAATACCAGGAGAGTCTCTGGGAGCAGAAACTAGGCATATATGACCTCTGAGTTTGGTGTGAGGAGAGCATAGAGCCCTGGGAGTGTGAAGTGGCAAGAAGGCATAAAGTGAATGGATAACTTAAGCCATTGTGAAAAGTTTATGAAGTAAGGAAGGTGATTAAGTTTGATGTAATACTGATCTTTTTGTTTTTGTTTTGGGACCACACCCTGTGTTGCTGGGGGTTACTCCTGACTAAGTGCTCAGGGATCATTCCTGGTGGCTATGGGGACCATATGGGATGCCAGGGATCAAATTTCCCTATCAGCCACATGTAAGGCAAGCACCCAGCCCGCTGTACTATTTCTCCAGCTTCGTGATTTACTGATCTCTTAATTAACATAAAAAGATCTGGAATCTGCATCCACTGATAGACCTTGAACAATTTGCTATTGTTCATTTGGTTTGCACTAGGATGCAAAAGCAAAATCATCCCAGTGCTTTCTGTCTGTCTCTGTGACTGCCAGATTGAATAGGGAAGAACATATGAAAAAACAAAACAAAACTCTAGAATCTGATTTTTATTATCTTATTGTTTCCTCTATGGGGTAACTTCTGATTTACTAACTGATGTTTTCTTTTTTAAGAAAAGGGTTGTTATTAACAACCTCAACGGCCACACTGCTCGAGTCAATTGCGTACAGTGGATTTGTAAACTGGATGGTTGTGAGTATTAATACTTCATGTTCCTAGTCTTTAGGATAAAAAGATTTTCCTTTTATCACATCTCTTAATTTAGCACTAGCTTATCTGATATTAAGCAGATGAGATAAAAGAGGGGAAATAGTAATGACAAATGACTGATCTGACCTGTTCTTTCCCTTCAGTTGAATCCTGGATAATGTCACACAGCAGGGAGTAGGGGGAGGGTAGAAGAAGCCCCTTGAATGATGAAACCCTTCTCCCTCGCACAGGGATGTCTTTGTGTCTGCTGTTGGGATCCAGCTCAGTCTCTCAAGATACAAAGGATACACTCTGCCTCTGAGCCACTTTCCTGGCAGGAGGGATCCAGGCTAGGATTTGGAGAACCAGTTTATGGGTCTATTTCTGCCATGGACAGATTGCTTTCTATGTATTAATTTTTGTACTTGGACCACATTTGGCAGTGCTCAGGTGTTACTCCTGGTTGTGTGCATAAGGATCATTCATGGCGGACTTGGGGGACCATATGGAATGCTGGGGATCGGTCAATTGCAATAAAGTCAGCAGGGAGTAGTTGTTACAGATGTTAAAGATTTAAGAAATGAGAACTGGCTCTTGTTAATCCACACCTTTCCCTTCCCCTGCCCTTTTACAGTTTTTGGTTAACAGTTAATGAAGTTTATTATCATTAAACATAAACATTAAAATTTTTACTTTAGGCCTGGAGAGATAGTAGCAGATAAGGCACTTGCCTTATATGTGGCTGACTAGGTTTGTTCCCCTGTACCCATATGGTCTCTCCAACACTGCAAGGAGTAAGTCCTGAGTATAGCTAGCTGTGGCCCAAACCACTTCTCTCACCCCCCTACAATTTTTTTTTTTTTACCTTCAAAGTTAAAAATTTAGGGCTGGAGAGAGAGTACCAGCAGGTAGGGTGCTTGCCTTACTGACACAGGTTTATTTCCTGGCACTGCTAGGTTTGGGCCATAAAGTAAAAAATTAAAAAAATTGAATTATGTTTGTTTGGGGGCTACACCCGGCCATGCTCAGGGCTTGCTCGTGTCTCTGTGCTCAGGGGTCACTCTTGGAGGGCCTTCGGGACTGTATGTGGTTGGGGATTGAACCTGGCTACTCTGTATGCAAGGCAAGCATGTTACCCACGGTACTATCTCACCCCCAGATTTACACTCCCCCCTCCGCTCCCTTTCCTTTTGGGTGTTATGGTTAGCAATTCAGTACTGAAAAGTTACCACTTACATCCCTTTACCTCCTTTCAGCACTCAATTCTTGTCCAGAGTGATCATTTCCAACTATCACTGTCATAGTGGTCCCCTCTATATCCTAACTGCCTTCCCCAATTCTTGTGCAAGCTTCCAACCCACCAACACTGAATGAGAGTTCTTTCTCCTTATTTCCGTGCCAGCACTTGTTTTTGCTCTTTTGATGTGTGCCAATCTCTGTGGTGTGAGATGATATCTTATTGTTGTTTTGATTTGCTTCTCCCTGAAAGTGATGTAGAGCATTTTTTATGTGCCCTTTGGCCATTTGTATTTCTTCTTTGAGGAAGTTTCTGTTCATTTCTTCTCCCTATTTTTTGATGGGATTGGATTTTTTTTTCTTGTAAAGTTCTACTAGTGCCTTATATATCTTTGGTATTAACCCATATCAGATGGGTGTTGAGTAAGTAATTTTTTTCCATTTCGTGGACTGTTCTGGTCTCCATTTCCTTTGTCAGTGTTAATTTTTAATGTGGTTGGAAATTTCTGTTTTGCTATTTGTTGCAACATCACTAGTGGTGTAATTACTGGAAAACACCACTGTAAACTTCAAGGGAATGAGAACAAAAACCAGGAATAATGGAATAATTTTTTTTTTCTTTTTGGGTCACACCCTGCGATGCTCAGGGGTTACTCCTGGCTCATGCACTCAGGAATTACTCCTGGCGGTGCTCGGGGGACCATATGGGATGCTGGGAATCAAATCAGGGTCGGCCATGTTGGCTGTGTGCAAGGCAAACGCCCTACCCGCTGTGCTATTGCTCCAGCCCCCAGGAATAATTTCTTAGTATTATTCTGAAAATGGTTTTGACCACTCAGGTGTAGAACTTACCTAAACAAAACCTTTTGTTTTGGAGAAGTTGTTTTAAATTAGGGGCCAGAGTGAGCATTGATTTGTTCCTGGCACCACCTGGTGCCCTGCACATTGCCAGGTATGCCCGCCTTCTGAAAATAACTGTAGAGGAATATGAGTACTAAAGTGTGAGGCTTGGGGCTGGAGGGAAAGTACAGCGTGCCTTGCATGCAAACTTGGATACGATCCTCAGCATCTGAGCCCTGCCAGGAGTGATCCTTGAGTGCAAAGCCAGGAGTAAATTCTGAGCTCTGCTTAGAGCTCAGGGTGTGACCCAGAAACCAAAAAATAAAATACAAGCGTGAGGCTTGCTCTTCAAGTCCATGTTCTCCTTTGAATGCTTATCTCTCACTTGCTTGTTACATTTCTTTTCTTGGTTATTTCTACCCTGGAGAAGTTTCTGTTCTCTCTTGAACACACACACTCCTCTCTTTATCTCCCCTCACATCTTTCTAAACAAGTTTAAATAAAAACTATGTTACCTCCTGTGTTATCTCTTTGGCTCCCATAATAGCATCTTATATTGGAGGTAGGGAGGGGGCTTTCACACCTGGCAGAGCTCAGGACTGACTCCTGGCTCAGCACTCAGGGATCACTCCTGGCGGTGTTTAGGTTACCAGATGGGGTGCCTGGTTGGCTGTGTGTAAGGAAAACACCCTTCCTGCTATATTACTGCTCTGACCCCAGATGCCTGGTTATTAACACATTGCTTTATATTAACTTACCGATACAATTCTCCACTTTATGTAGTTAAATAAATGGCTGTGTTTGTGATGTATGAAGAAATTTAGGTCAAGATAACACTCACCTGGCATCAGCATTAGGACATAAGTCTTGAACTTTTTCCAAAAAAATTTATTATTTTTTTATTTTTTAAATTGAGTCACCATGAGATACATAGTTATAAAACTGTTCATGATCAGGTTTTGTTGTGCCTGAGTTTCAGATCCCCAGTTGTGGAGATACCAGTTCTACACACAATAATGCAAAAGCAAAGGAACTTTATTACTAGCTCAAGCCATTGCTAGCTTGAGCTAGGGTCCAAGTTTCATCCAGCGCAGTGTAATCTTGACAAGGACTCCGACTTCAAATCACAAGCAGTTTATATAGGGGTCAGAGTTAAGAGGCAACTTATATATACTGATCTGTTTTAGCATTGGCCCTATTACAATGATGGTCAGCAATTAGGCAACGGTTAGCAACAGTTTCTAAGTAGGGTACAGCAGTGACCCCTCATGACCAGCCACACCCAATTGCCTAATTCTTATCTCGGCGAATTATTCAACTGGGAGTCTACCAGAAACTGCAGGTTCTGTTTTGGGGAAACAAACTGAGGCCTAGTTGAGACTTAATGTTAGCCGTAGTCTCACGGTTTCAGTCATACAATGATCCAACACCAATCCCTCCACAATGTCCATTTCCCACCACCAGTACCTCAGTTTCCCTTCCAACACACCCCCTCCCCCAGCCTGACTCTGTGGCAGACACTCCCCCCCCGCCCTTTCTCCTCTCCCCTCCCTTTCCAGCCCCTTCGTCCCCTCTTTCCCCTTCTCCGCTCCCTTCTGGGTTTCATAGTCTCAACACAGACACTAAGAAGTTATTGTGTTTGTTCCTTTACCTACTTTCAATACACAGTTCTTATCCAGTGATCATTTCCAAGTATCTTTGTTATCATGGTCCCTTCTCCATCCAAATTGCCTTTTCCCCCGGCACTTGAGGTAGTCTTCCAACCATAGACTAATCCTCCATGGCCTTTTTTCTACTGTCCTTGGGTATTAGTCTCATATTATGTTGTATTTTTTTTTTTGAGTGTAGTCATTCTTTGTCTGTCCCTCTCCTTCTGACTCATTTCACTCAGCATGATACTCTCCATGTCCATTCATTTATAAGCAAATTTCATAACTCCATTTTTCCTAACTGCTGAACCTTGAAGTTCTGAGTAAAAATTTAATGTTTGTTCTTGTTTTCTGGTGGGCAGACTTAATGATGCATTGTTCTTCACACAGATGGCCACAGAGACTGTAACTGAGGAATTTATAACCATGCAGCATAGATGAGTTTGCCATCCAAAATAAACTGGCTTCCTACAATGACCCTGTAAACATAGTAGCTCTTCTTGCATCCTTATGAAAGTAACAATTGTAGAGGAACCGGAAATCTTTGCAGAATGATAGAAAAACCAAAGAAAAAATAGCAAGTTACTGTATAGTTGGTGAAAGCAGGAAATCTCTTGTCCTTTACTGTACTGCTTTGCTCTTCTTTTTTTTTTTTTTGCTTTTAGGGTCACACCTGGCTCTGCACAGGGGTTCCTCCTGGCTCTGCACTCAGGAATTTACCCCTGGCGGTGCTCTGGGGACCATATGGGATGCTAGGAATCGAACCCAGGTTGGCCGCGTGCAAGGCAAACGCCCTACCCATTGTGCTATTGCTCCAGCCCCTGCTTTGTTTTTCTTACTTTTTAAAAATATTTTATTTATTTTGCTGTTTGTGTCACATCCAGTGATACTTAGAGGTTACTCCTGACTCGGCACTCAAGAATTACTCCTGGCGGTGCTAGGGGGGGACATAAAAGGATGCTAGGGATCAAACCTGGGTTAGCTACCGTGCAAGGCAAACGCAAACACACACTCCGCTGTATTATCACTTAGGCCCCTCTCCTTAGTGTTGAATTTTCTGTCCCTCTGTAGATTATCTATGCTAACTCAGTAGATTTGAGTAAACCGTTTGAAGCTTGCTTCTTTGAAGCTCTCCACTTTGGTGATTTTGTTTTTTCCCAGTAGGACTTTTTTTTTTTTTTTTTTTTAAATCACATCCTGTGGTCTAAAAAAAGTGCTTGGGGCAGCTTGTGGTTTAGTGCTTAGGGATTGCTCAGCAGGGGTTGGGAGGGAGCGAACAGTTCTGGGAGTCAAACCCAGGCATCATGTGTACAGAGCTCACACATCAGTCCATGGAGCTATCCTTTCTTCCCTATTTTATAATAGTGTTTCATTTTGTTGTTGATTTGGGATCATAACTGGTGGGGCTCAGAGCTTACTCATGGCTCTTCTTCACTCAAGGATCACTCCTGGGGTGGGCTTAGAGGACCATATGGGCCACCAGAGATTGAACCCGATCCATCGCATACAGTGCTGATGTCCTACATGCTGTACTATAGCTCTAGTCCCTGAAGTAAAATTGTTTTATTTAGGACATAGAGTCCCATAAAGTGACACTGCCCAGGCTAGGGTGCTGGCCACTCTGGCATGAAGCGTGCCAGTCATAGCTCTTAACAGACACTTGCTGTCTGTGGACTGTGTTCTCCACACAGTCCTTCCTGGGGGAGAGTTTAGGCTTCTTCAGGGCAGTGAACATGAAGAGTTTGGGCACCCACCTGCAAGACGATCTTATATCATCTCAGGGGTATGATATTAGGAGCCTGATCTTAAGTGAAAAGTGTGGTTTTTTTTTTGCTCTTCTCCGCTTTGGGGGCCACACTTGGCAGTGCTCGGGTTTACTCCTAGCTCTGCACTTAGGAATCACTCCTGTCTGTGCTGGGGATGGGGTTGGAGGGAAAGGGGGAGGGAACTATATGGGATGCCAGGGATCGAACCCTGGTTGTCCTTGTGCAAAGCAAATGCTCTACCTGCTGTCCTGTTGCTCCAGCACCCTCAAATAGAATGTTCTTTAGTATTCCTCAGGTGCTTCCTCTAAATATCTAGCATGTGGGTGAGAAAGAGCAGTCATGTGGAAAATCCAAGCCAAAATATTTGTCTAGTCTCAAAAATGTCACATAGTTGATGGCAGTAGCTGAATATAATGTCTTGTATTATCCTGCTGAAAGCATTTACCCTGAAAGCATTTAACCTGAATCTTAGAGGAAACAGGTAGATAAATCCAGTTTGAGGAGCATTTGTAAAAAAATGGATCTTGACTCCCATTATCAGCCAAATGAGGAAGTTGCTGTACTATTCTAAGTTAAAAGAGACTAAAAGGACTGAAAGGAAAAACATATGCACAACATATGGCCCTTAGATTCTGATTTTTTGTTTGTTTTGCTTTTGGGCCACACTCGGGGTGCTTAGGGCTTACTCCTGGCTCTGTTCAGGGATCACTTCTGACAGGGCTGGGGATCAAACTCAGGCCAGTTGCTGGCAAGGCAAGCACCTTACCTACTCTGTACTCTCCAGCCCCAGATTCTAAACTCTTAAAAAGGTTCCAAAAGCTGTTACTTTGATGTTTTACTGTATTGTATTACATAATGATGCTATATCAATATTATTTATTTATTTTAAATGCTATATCAATTTTATGCCCTGTTTTTTTCTTTTTGGGTCACACCCGGCGATGCACAGGGGTTACTCCTGGCTCTGTGCTCAGGAATTACCCCTGGTGGTGCTCAGGGGACCATATGGGATGCTGGGAATTGAACCCGGGTCAGCTGCGTGCAAGGCAAACGCCCTACCCATTGTGCTGTTGCTCCAGCCCCTCAATTTTAAATTTTGTGTTGTGGCTCTTGGTTTCTTCCTGGCTCTGCTGCACTCAGGAATCACTCCTGGTGGTTCTAGGGGTGGGATGGGGGTGAGGGACAAACCCAGGGCTTTATACCACCAAGGCGGCATTAGTTTTGTTACTGAGCTAAATCCATTGCCCCATAAATTTTGAGTTTTTTTGGGTCATCTCAAGTCGTACTCACGGGACCTGGGGTCTCTCCCATCTGTAATTGGCCAACCCAGCTGGTGGTTCAGTGATGCTAGGTGCTAAGAATCACTAGGGCTGCTTACCCTGGTAATGTTTAGGGGGCCATGACGGCACACCTGGCTATGTTTGGTAGGCCATGTAGTGCTGGGAATCCCACCTGGGCCAGGTCACATATGCACCTTGATTCCTATAACTACTTCAGCTACCCCCTAATTTTGTCATTTATTTTTATTTTATTTTATGTTTTCTTTTTGGGTCACACCCAGCAATGCTCAGGGGTTATTCCTGGCTCTGCACTCAGGAATTACTCCTGGTGGTGCTTGGGGGACCATATGGGATGCCAGGGATTGAACCTGGGTCGGCCGTGTGCAAGGCAGATACCCTCCCTGCTGTACTATTGCTCCACGCCCCCCATCCCCATAATTTTTTAAAATGTGGTCATTGTAGTTACATATGAAAAGATTCTAGTTTTTAGGATATGTTATTATCCTGGGGATCAAACCCATTGTCTCATGCACGCAAGGCATGAGCTTTATCACTGAGCCACACCCCGCACCAATATAATGAAGGGTTTTAGGATCAGAAGTCTTACTGCCTGCAGCCCACTTTGAAATGGTTCATGAAAATTAAAAGTGTTTGTATGTATCTATATAGAGTAATCTTAACCAAGGTAGGCAAAATATTAATAGGGAATCTAGGTAAAGCATATATTTTTATATGTTTTCTACAGCTTTGAAATTTGTCAGGATATTTGGAGAAAAATTATAAAACAAAAATACTTTTATGTATTTTTTTTCAGCTCCTTGTACTGAATTAGTTTCTGGAGGATCTGACAATCAAGTAATTCACTGGGAAATAGAGAATAATCAGGTGGGTAAATATGCTTATAGTTATAAAAAAATGACACGTGTCTTTTATTTTCAACTATTTTCTTAATTTCTGCCAACTCCTTCCTATGTTATATTCCCTCAAGGCCCAGAGAGATAGTACAGGAAGTAATGGAGACACTATTCCTGGTACTGCATATCCTTCCCTGAGAACCACCAGGGTTCACTCATGAGCACAGAGCCAGGAATAGACCCTGAGCACCACTTGGTGTGACCCTGAAGCACCCCACCCCACGGCCCCCCCAAAAGTAGAGTTCCCTCATGCTTATTTATCAGCAGATGCTGTATTTTCCATACTCTTGTCATTAATATTTGCTCTCTATTCATACACTGATAGTTTTTGTGAATTTTCTACCATTTTGGAGTAAGTGGGTGATTGGGGATGCAGGGTTTGGGCCCCCCAGCAGTGCTAGGGCTACTCTAGGTATTTATTGTTTGGGAATCATGAGGTGCTGAGGGTTGAGCCAGGGTCTCTAGCATGTCTTTCCGCCCTTCGAGCTGTCTTTCCAGACTCTATTCTGGAATACTCTTAAGTCTTATTTTTATATAGGTGGGGAGCAGGCTTTCAATCAGTGTACGGAGTATCTCCAGGCCTTTCGCAGTGACCCTGCCTGTGCTCCCTGAGGGGTTCATGTTCAGTGTGGTGCTGCTCAGCCCTGTGGCACTGTAGGACACGAGAGCTCCTGGTAATGCTGGGAGGGCCAGGCAGTGCTGGGAACTGAACTCGGATCTTAGCCTGCTCAGCTCTCTCCCCTACCCAGTCCTAATTTTTCTTTTCTTTTCTTTTCTTTTGTTTGTTTGTTTGTTTTTAGACCATACCTGGCTGTGTTCATGGCTCACTACTGACTCTGTGCTCAGGGATCACTCTTGGTGGGGCTTGGGGGACCATATGAGGTGCCAGGATTGAATCCAGTTTGACCACATGTAAGGCAAATGTCCTACTCCCCTGTTGTATTCTCTCTCTCTCTGGTCCCTAATTTTAATATGTTTTTGTTGTTTTGGGCCACAGCTGGGTTACCCCTAGCTCCTCACTCAGGAATTACTCTTGGTGGTGTTCTGGGGACCATATGGGATGCCAGGGATTGAATCTGGATCAGCCACATGCAAGGCAAACTCCCCTACTCCACTTTACTTTCTCTTTAGCCCCAAAAGTTGTTGATTTCCAAGCAGAGGAGTGTGACTATGACAGGAAGATTATTAATCTGACAGCTGTGCCAAGTTAGAATAGGAAACAATGTGAAGTTAGAGATACTGGGTATACTTCTGGAAGTAAATGCTTTTCTCATTGAATAGTTAACTGTTAAGGGAGTAGGGATCTAGTGAGTAGGAGGTGTAAGTAATCAAAAATGGATGGGATAACCCTGGAATAAAGGTGCTTTTGCAAATGAAAATAGGCACCCGAGAGATAGTGCAGGAGGTAAGGCACTTGTCCTGAGGCAGACCCCAGTTCGATCCCAGCACCGCCTGGGATCACTCCTAATCATGAAAGCCAGGAGTGGTTCCCTGATCACCACTGAGTGTGATCCAGAAATCCAAAAGCAAAACATAGCAAACACTGATGTGAAAATAGACAAGTAGGAAGAGAGAAGTGAAATTCAGTTATAACCTATCACTGGAATCGGTAACTCGACATCCAGACTTGTTCTCAGAGATAGAGGCAGATGTGATGGTTGGAGCTTTGAGCCACACTAGTGAGATTTGCTGGAGTATTTCCTGGGTACTCACCAAAGTTTCTGTCAGTAGGGAGGACTGCGTGTTTAATAGTCTATGGCAGAGCATAAAACTGTGACAAAGGGATCCGACAGGGAGGAAGAGAAAATGAGGATGAAAGGCATCAAAGAGGGAAGAAGGGAATAAGAGGATTTAAGGGAATGATCTGCACATCATAATCTTAGGGGCTTAGAGGTTTTCTTTCCACATGTATTTCCATACACACAGGTGTTTAACACACCTTGAGGTAAGGAAATAGTGCTAAGCTGGTGTAATGAGAGGTTTGGTTCTTTGAATAGTGAATGTTTTTATAAATGTGAACTTGAGGGATTTTAGTTTTTCAGATTCTCTGGTGATTGAAATAGAACCCTTCTTAAAGATGTGAAGTGTTTTCCATGGATTTAACTTTTAGGAGACAAGAATACTTGAAAAATTAAAATATAGATGATTTTTAAAGAAGGGGCAAACTACAAAATCTTAATAAAGTTGACATTCTGGATTTTAGTTATATATGTATAAATACATATATGAGATCTCACTCTACCTGAGTTTTCTTCCATTTTTTTTTGTTTTGTTTTGGTATCTCATGTGACGGTGCTCAGGGGTTACTCCTGGCTCTGCTCTCAGGGATCACTCCTGGTAGTGCTCAGGGACGGTATGGGATTCCAGAGATTGAACCTGATCGGCCACATGCACTGTACTATTGTTCTGGCCCCAACCTGAGTTTTCTTGTTTTTTATTTTTATTTATTTATTTATTTATTTATTTATTGCTTTTTTGGGTCACACCCGGTGATGCACAGGCGTTACTCCTGGCTCATACACTCAGGAATTACCCCCTGGCGGTACCCGGGGGACCATATGGAATGCTGGGAATCGAACCTGGGTTGGCCGTGTGCAAGGCAAACGCCCTAACCACTGTGCTATTACTCCGGCCCCTTCTTGTTTTTTAGAGGTTAGTGATTCAAGAGAGTTATTACAGGAACCTAATGTACACCGATTAGTAACCTGGTAAGTGGCAGAATTCTGCTTAGTTGAGGTAACAACCAAGGAGGCATTAGGAGAATGATAGAACAGCAGATAAGGAGCTTGTCTTGCAGATAGCTGACTTGGTTTAATGGCATCCCATATGGTACCTTGAACCAACCAGGAGTGATCCCTGAGTTCAGAGCCAGGAGTAAGCCCTGAGCACTGCCAAGTGTGGCCCCCAAAACAAAAAAAAAAAACTAAAAGCAACTGAAGAGTTATATAAAAGATGCTCTGTGTCATCAGACAAGTTAGAGAAGATACTTATCAGAGAAAGTGCTAGAATCTCACACATTTAGGGGCCAGAATAATAGTGCAGCAGGTAGGGCTCTTGCTTTGCACAGTGCAGACCTGGGTTTGATCCCCAGCACCCCATATGGTTATTCTTCCCCAAGCTCTACCAGGAGTGATCCATGAACGCAGACCCAAGTAAAAAACACACCAAAAAATCAAGAATCTTGCACATTTAGAAGTCTGAGTCGAGTCGGGGCTGGAATGATAGTATGGCCCGTAGGGCTTTTGCCTTGCACGCAGCCAACCCAGGTTTGATCCCTGGCATCCTGTATTGTCCCCCAACCACCATTAGGAGTAATTCCTGAGTGCAGAGCCAGGAGTTACTCCCCAAGCATTACCGGGTATGACCCAAAAGCCAAATAAATAAATAAGAGCTATACTAAAATTAGCGTGGGCTGGAGTGATAGCACAGCGGGTAGGGCGTTTGCCTTGCACGCAGCCAACATGGCTGACCCGAGTTCAATTCCTCCGCCCCCCTCGGAGAGCCCGGCAAGCTGCCGAGAGTATTTCACCTGCACGGCAGAGCCTGGTAAGCTACCCATGATGTATTCCATATGCCAAACACAGTAACAATTGTCACAATGGAGACGTTACTGGGCCCACTCGAGCAAATCGATGAACAATGGGAGGACAGTGACAATGACTAAAATTAGCGTAAATTATGCCACATGGAATATTGCCTAATGGCAGGCAGATCATCTCAATAAGTAAATGAGATGTCCTAGTTCTTCCATTTTTCTTCCATTTTTCCTATTATATAGTTGATTTGTTCAGCAGTATCTGGTGACCTGGGTACATGGAGCCAATTCCGATGTAGTCTGTAATTGATGGTCTGTGACTGATGGACTACAGATTGATGGCACTGTAGACAGTTTTATTCAGGATCACGGTCACGGTCACGGTTCTCCCGTTGTTCATCGATTTGCTCGAGCGGGCCCAGTAACATCTCCATTGGAGACTTTGTTGTTACTGTGTTTGGCATATCGAATACATCACGGGGAGCTTGCCAGGCTCTGCCGTGCGGGTGAGATACTCTCGGTAGCTTGCCGGGCTCTCCGAGAGGGGCAAAGGACTCAAACTCGGGTCGGCCATGTTGGCCGCTTGTAAGGCAAACGCCCTACCGCTGGATCAGCATCAGCATTGGTTATATAGGGGCAAATGGTGTGCAGCACATGCAGGACAAGGGCAGGTGGTAAGTGGGAGACAAATGTTAGATCAATATGAGATTTTTGTGGAATTTACAATTCAGTTGAAGAGAAAACCAGGCAGTATATTTGTCCTTTTACTCAGAATCTCCATAAAAGCTCCACTTACTTGTTTCTTCATTTTCTCCTTGCAGAGTTTTTTCATTAGACAGATGCATATGTTACAGTAAACGAAAGAAAGAGTTAGATCAATAATTATACGGGGAAGATTGGTATAAGCAAAAACAAAATTATCTAGATATCATCACGATTGCCAGTCAGTTATTTGTCTAGATTCCATTACCAATTAATTATTTATCTAGATTCCATTATTACTAATCAGTTATTGGTCTAGATTCAGTAGGTGTCAACATCCCTAGTTCCAAACCTAGTCATGTGATGTGTAGTAAGTGTTCTACTGTGTATGCTGAATCTGTTTATGAGCAGTCATCAGACTAGTACATACGGAACATTCCACAAAGCTCCTATGTCTCAAAATATGTGAATTTCATTGTTTCTGTAGTAATAATTATTTAACTTTTTATTGGCTACAGTTTATGTCTATAGTAATTTATTTAATGTTTGCTTTAAAAAGTGATGGCACTTTTTTCCTGTTCTGCATTTGGCTTTCATTATTTGTTGTATTAATGCTGTTATCTCCTCAGAGTAGATTCTTAGGCTTGTGGTTGCTGTATCGAAGGGTTATGTATATCTTCTGTGTTGATCATATGAGTAGAGAGACTTCTTGAAAGTTGAAATTCTCTTCAATTGAAAGAACCTATTCTAGAGTAGGTAGGGTTTTTTTTTTTGGTGGGGGGTGGAGTGGGTAGAGGTGGGACAGTGGGACTTAGGCCATACCCAACAATGCTCAGGACTTACACCTGGCTCTGTATTTAGGCATCAATACTGGCAAGCTTAGGGGAACCTTATGGAGTCAAACCCAGGTCCACTGTGCGCAAGGCAAGCACTCTATCCTCTGTACTATCACTCCAACTCCATGGGTTAGGCATTTTATTTTATTTTAAAAATACTTATTGATACTTTGGTTTGGAGGCCACCACACCTAGTGGCTATTCAGAGATCACTCCTGGTGGGGCACACTGGACCATATGTGGTGCTCGGGAGTGAACTTGGGCCAGCCATGTACAAGGCAAGCAGCTTACCCACTGTACTATTGCTCCAGCCGCCTCATTAGGCATTTTAACAAGATCTTTAATTCTGGGGTTAAATAAAGGTGAAACTGGTAATACCTTTTTTAAAAAAAAATTGAGAGGTACATACACGGCTATGCTCAGGGGTTACTCCCAGCTTTGTGCTTGGGGACCACTCTCCATGGTACTCGTGAGGACCATGTGTTGCAGGAGAACAGACCTGAGAGTCCTGTACATACAAAGTTTGTGATTAGTTTGTTGAGAATTCCTTTCTAACCATGTCTTTCTCATTTTTTCTGACTTAGCTTTTACAAACTGTCTGTCTCCAAGGCCATGAAGGACCTGTTTATGCAGTCCATGCTGTATACCAGAAGAAGGCATCAGATGTTGCCTTACACACACTGATAGTTTCTGCGGCTTCAGATTCTACTGTTAGAGTGTGGTCTAAAAAGGGTTCTGAAGGTAAGCTGAGAGACTGTATAATCCAGACAATGGAATAACTGTATTTAAATGAACAATAACTAGAAGAGTTTTCACAATTTTTTCAGTCAATTTAAAAATAATATAATTCTAATCTAAGTGTTTCTGTTTCACTTTTTTTTTTTTTTTTGCTTTTTGGGTCACACCCGGCGATGCACAGGAGTTACTCCTGGTTCATGCACTCAGGAATTACTCCTGGTGGTGCTCAGGGGACCATATGGGATGCTGGGAATCGAACCTAGGTCGGCTGTGTGCTAGGCAAACACCCTACCCGCTGTGCTATTGCTCCAGCCCCTCTTTTTCACCTTTTCAAAATTTCTTTTTAATCAGATTTTGGGGAGTTGTTTTGTTTTTAGTGTTTTTTAGCGGGGGAGGAAGGTTTGGACCCCATTTGGCTATGTGCACGGCTTACTCCTGGCTCTGTGCTCAGGGATTGCTCTTGGTGGTTCTCCAGGGGACTAGTTTTGGTACCAGGGATTGGGCCCAGGTTGACTGCATGCATGGCAAGCACCTAACTCACTTGCTATCTCTCCAGCCCCTTTACCAGGTTGTTAATGTCAGTTCCTTCTCAAATCTTTCATAAATTTTTGTTCTTTGCAACTGTTTCAATTTACCGTTTAAATACACATGGGCAATTGTGAATTTAAATCACAACAATTCTGAGCTGATTTCTCTCCCAGCTGACATCTACAGTATGATGATACTCTGAAAATGAATATACACTTAAGTTGTTCATTTTTTATTATTTTTTAGTTACATGTCTGCAGACCTTGAACTTTGGAGAAGGAGTCACTCTGGCTCTCTCTTTATCGTTTTTGCCTGAGACTGAAAGTGAGTACTCTTCTAAGTAAATATTAAATGCGCACTCTGTTTTTTATATCTCTAGATAGTGACCTCTAGAATCTCAAAAAGAAATGGTCTTAATCTGTTTGTTTTGGGTTTTTGTTCTCAGTGGTGCTCAGGGACCAACGATGCAATGAAGGTACTTGGGAATTCTGCATAAAATTCGTGCACTCACCTGTCGAGTTATCGCCTCAATCCTTTGGGTCTCTGTATCTAAATATTTCTACCCTCCCCCACACCCCCATTTTTTGGCCATATCCAACAATGCTCAGAGCTTACTCCTAGCAGTGCTTAGGGGACTATAGGGGATGCCTGGGATCAAACCTGAGTCAGATATGTCCAAGACAAGTGTCCTATCCTTTGTACTATCACTCTGACCCATCTACATCTAAATATCTTTTTTTTTTTTAAGTATAACATTTGTAAGTTTTGAGAATGTGGGGGGTGGGGGAGAGGAGAGGAGAGAGAGAGAGAGAGAGAAGGGAGAGAGGAGAGAGAGGGGAGAGAAAGAGAACGTGGACTTCTTGGATTTCTCCAGGGTGGAGAGGGAACCCCAGTACACGTTCTAGCATTAGATATGAAAGTAAGAAAGGACACGTCTCAGGAAGGGAGATGCAGGGTGACACATGTACTCACGCAATGTATATACATATGTTTTCATGAAACAGAGATAACATACTTTTGTTTTCAATGTTTGTGTCTTTCAATATTTTTGTCCTCTGAGTGTTGAATATAAAATTAAAGGAGATATTCGGAATTTTGGTAGATGTTGAAAATTTTTGTGACTTAAAATGTGTTCAAGATTGATACTCTCATTTGTCAAATATTATGTTGCTATGTAGTCACCTAATGTGGGAGCATTCACTAATTTTGTAGAAGATGAGATAATCTGTGGAAGTATTGAAGGCAAACCTGTGAAAATCTCTCAAAATGTTAGCCTCTTTTTCATCTTGTATGGTGTTTTGTCCAAGACTGCTTAAAATCTTAGAAAAGAAAGAAATTATTTTCTTGCTGTGAGAATCTCTTTTTCCTGTCAGATTATCCTCTACAAAGTTGATAGCTACTAAGGATCAGTCCCTTTGCACTAAGTGACCTGGAGGACAGATTTGGTAGACAAGAAAAAGATAGAGAGAGGTGTGCCCAGTAGCCACTAGTCTCTTGGCCTCTGACAGAAATTGCAACTCTAGATTCGTGTGATGCTTCACTTTGTGTGAGGAATCCCTGAGTTGGGCAACTGCTTCCGTTCTGGTTTTATAACAGACTTAGTTCATCTGTATCTGTCTTGAGGCCTACTGGAATTTTTTAGTATTTTTACTTTGATTTGTGGATGCTAATAATTGTGTCTTTCCCACTTTTGAACCACATGTTTATTTACATGCTTTGTGATTTTGATATCTGAATTGTTTTATGAATTTTGTTCCACTGTTGAATTCTCAAACAAAATGTGTAGCTCTCAAAGCAACACACATGCCCTTAAATGTTTGAGCAATAACCATGTGCTGTGCTGATAATCTCTCTTCCGTTTTATTATTCAGTCATTCTTTTTTTTTTTTTTTTTTTAATTTTTTTTTATTTATTGAATCACCTTGGGAAAGGTTACAAAGCTTTCAGGTTTAGGTCTCAGTCATGCAAATATCAAACACATTTCCCTTTACCAATATTTTTTTTTTTACCATGAAGAACCCCAATAAAACCCCACCCCCCACCCCTCCCAGTCCCTGTGGGGCAGATGAATTCTAGTTAACACTCTATCTGCTTTGATTAGATTCATTGTTTCAATAAAAGATTCACCACTATAATTTAGAGTTTACCCCCCCCCCCCCCAAATCAGACATGCTGAAAAAGCATTGTGACGTGATTTGATTTCTACAGCTGGGTTCAAGAATTAAATATTGGTTTTGGATTTCTGCTATTTTACTTATTGACCCTGGAAGTATTTATACTGAAAGTCAGATAGTTAAGAAATTGGTTTCTGTGCTCTGGAGTCGTGGCCGTGCTGGAGAGCCGCTAGTGGGGGGCAACTGGTGGCCTCGGTAGGGCGTGAAGGGCGGACCGAAACGCCCCCTTCCCATGAGGTTTTAGTCGCCCCCCCACTCCCCCGGCTCATACCTGCTGTCCACAAGGCTCCCATGCGGCCGCCATCTTTCTTTCCAGAGAGGAGAAGGCAACTGGGGCAACACCCTTTCCCCTCCGGACAGACATGATGGCCTGGATTAACGCATAGTCCTTTCACTTTTCTGCTCCAAGCTGCCGGGTTCTGCATTAAGTCCCTGTGCTTCTGGGACTGTGGCCGTGCTGGATAGCCGCTCGCGGGGGGCAACTGATGACCTTGGTAGGGCGTGAAGGACGGACCGGAACGCCCCCCTTCCCATGAGGTTTTAGTCGCCCCCACACCCCCGGCTCATACCTGCTGTCCACAAGGCTCCCATGTGGCCGCCACCTTTCTTTCCAGAGGGAGGAGGGCAGAAGGGACCAACACCCTTTCCCCTCCGGGCAGACATGATGGCCTGGATTAACGCATAGTCCTTTCACTTTTCTGCTCCAAGCTGCTGGGTTCTGCATTAAGTCCTTGTGCTTCTGGGGCTGTGGCCGTGCTGGAGAGCCGTTCATGGGGGGCAACTGGTGACCTCGGTAGGGCGTGAAGGACGGACCGGAACGCCCCCCTTCCCATGAGGTTTTAGTCGCCCCCACACCCCCGGCTCATACCTGCTGTCCACAAGGCTCCCATGCGGCCGCCATCCTTCTTTCCAGAGAAGAGAGGGCGAATGGGGCAACACCCTTTCCCCTCTGGCAGACTTGATGGCCTGGATTAACGCATAGTCCGTTCACTTTTCTGATCCAAGCTGCTGGGTAATGCATTAAGTCCTTGTGCTTCTGGGGCTGTGGCCGTGCTGGAGAGCCGCTCGTGGGGGGCAACTGGTGGCCTCGGTAGGGTGTGAAGGACGGACCGGAACGCCCCCCTTCCCATGAGGTTTTAGTCGCACCCACACCCCTGGCTCATACCTGCTGTCCACAAGGCTCCCATGTGGCCGCCACCTTTCTTTCCAGAGGGAGGAGGGCAGAAGGGACCAACACCCTTTCCCCTCCGGGCAGACATGATGGCCTGGATTAACGCATAGTCCTTTCACTTTTCTGCTCCAAGCTGCTGGGTTCTGCATTAAGTCCTTGTGCTTCTGGGGCTGTGGCCGTGCTGGAGAGCCGCTCGTGGGGGGCAACTGGTGGCCTCGGTAGGGTGTGAAGGACGGACCGGAACGCCCCCCTTCCCATGAGGTTTTAGTCGCCCCCGCTCCCCCGGCTCATGCCTGCTGTCCACAAGGCTCCCATGCGGCCGCCATCTTTCTTTCCAGAGAGGAGAGGGCGAATGGGGCAACACCCTTTCCCCTCCAGCAGATTTGATGGCCTGGATTAACGCATAGTCCATTCACTTTTCTGCTCCAAGCTGTTGGGTTCTGCATTAAATCCTTGTGTTTCTGGGGCTGTGGCCGTGCTGGAGAGCCACTCGTGGGGGGCAACTGGTGGCCTCGGTAGGGCGTGAAGGACGGACCGGAACGCCCCCCTTCCCATGAGGTTTTAGTCGCACCCACACCCCTGGCTCATACCTGCTGTCCACAAGGCTCCCATGTGGCCGCCACCTTTCTTTCCAGAGGGAGGAGGGCAGAAGGGACCAACACCCTTTCCCCTCCGGGCAGACATGATGGCCTGGATTAACGCATAGTCCTTTCACTTTTCTGCTCCAAGCTGCTGGGTTCTGCATTAAGTCCTTGTGCTTCTGGGGCTGTGGCCGTGCTGGAGAGCCGCTCGTGGGGGGCAACTGGTGGCCTCGGTAGGGCGTGAAGGACGGACCGGAACGCCCCCCTTCCCATGAGGTTTTAGTCGCCCCCGCTCCCCCGGCTCATGCCTGCTGTCCACAAGGCTCCCATGTGGCCGCCATCTTTCTTTCCAGAGAGGAGAGGGCGAATGGGGCAACACCCTTTCCCCTCCAGCAGATTTGATGGCCTGGATTAACGCATAGTCCGTTCACTTTTCTGCTCCAAGCTGTTGGGTTCTGCATTAAGTCCTTGTGCTTCTGGGGCTGTGGCCGTGCTGGAGAGCCGCTCGTGGGGGGCAACTGGTGGCCTCGGTAGGGCGTGAAGGACGGACCGGAACGCCCCCCTTCCCATGAGGTTTTAGTCGCCCCCACAGCCCCGGCTCATACCTGCTGTCCATAAGGCTCCCATGTGGCCGCCACCTTTCTTTCCAGAGGGGGGAGGGCGGAAGGGACCAACACCCTTTCCCCTCTGGCAGACTTGATGGCCTGGGTTAACACATAACCCGTTCACTTTTCTGCTCCAAGCTGCTGGGTTGTGCATTAAGTACTTGTGTTTCTGGGTTTGTGGCCGTGCTCAAAGCTTAACTATGATTTTCAGAGAGAAACGTTAGGTGGTTTACTTCCCATGGATCACTTTGTATATAGAGAGATGTCATGCGGCCGCATAAGCGGCCGCGCGGTTTTGAGGAAAAGTCCTAGTTCCCGCATACTCGAGCTGTGCTTGTAGAGGTTTCTGGTCACCGGGGTTCCATCTGGGGGAGGCGGGATGCGGTACCTACCCCATCTGGGACTTCCCGATGATCTCGGCTCTTTTTGGAACCTGGTTTTTTTTTTTTTTTTCCTTCGGGATCTGTGGATCCCGCCCTCCATGTTGTCCTTCTCTTCGGCTAAATGCTGTCAAGATGGCGCTGGGGGGCGGGCTGTGGGCGTGACTTCCGGAATCTGAGGTTACCTGGGAGGTGTAGTCCCGGCATTTTTGAGGAAAAGTCCTAGTTCCCGCATACTCGAGCTGTGCTTGTAGAGGTTTCTGGTCACCGGGGTTCCATCTGGGGGAGGCGGGATGCGGTACCTACCCCATCTGGGACTTCCCGATGATCTCGGCTCTTTTTGGAACCTGTTTTTTTTTTTTTTTCCTTCGGGATCTGTGGATCCCGCCCTCCATGTTGTCCTTCTCTTCGGCTAAATGCTCTATTCAGTCATTCTTAACAGCCTTTATTACTCTCTAGGCTAACTCTTTGAAAATGCTCCCAACTCATTCTTGAACTTCTCTTTTATGAAATAGTGGAATAGAAGAAAGGATTTTCACTTAACAATGTTTCTTTGTCTTGTGACCATTTAACAGAACATCTTAAACGTGTTTATTTTATTCTTACTAACTTATTGAACATTTTCAGTTTGTCTAAAACTAGAACTCAATCTTTTCCTGGAACATAGAATCTAGTATAGGTGATAATCATAATACATTATTGTTTTTTGTTTTGGGGGTCACAACTGGCAGTGTTTAGGACTTACTCCTGACTGTCCTCAGAGATCACTCATGGTGGGGCTTTGGGGGGGAACCATATGAGGTTCTGGGGATTAAACCCAGGTCAGCAGTATGCAAAGCAAGTACCTTACCCACTGTACTGTTGCTCCAGCCCTGTCTATCATAATATTTAATGGATACTTATAGCATCTTGTTTTTTTCCAGTACCTGTACTAGCATGTGGTGATGATGACTGCAAAATTCACTTATTTGTTCAACAAGATGATCAGGTAATTAATGATATTTATTAAGAGCCTATAAATTACATTCTGTTTAATTATATGTCTGTTCAGATTTTAGAATATGGGGGATATTATAATCAATTAACATAATCCAAAGTGATTGCAGCAGGTCTTGAACTGTTAGGCAAACAGCAGCTGTTAGGTTGGAAAGGAGAAGGAAGATGGAAACATTTAGATATTTGAAAACTGCAGATAATTCCTATTCATATTTAGGTAATGCAACATTTTTTATTTCCAAACAAAAACTCTGACTATTAAATTATGACATTTTCCCCAGTAAAATGGGGCCGGAGTGTTGTTACAACAGGTAGGACATTTGCCTTCTGACTCTGGTTCATCTGCGGCATCCCATATGGTCCCCTGAGCACTGCCAGGAGTAATTCCTGAGTGCAGAACCAGTAGTAACCCCTGAACATTGCTGGGTATGACCCAAAAAGGAAAAAAAATTGATATACTAGGATCGTGATCAAATGAGATCACTAATATACATAAAAATGTAAATTCTTATATCAAGTCTAATGATTTTTATCTTTCTAGTTTCAGAAAGTGCTTTTTCTCAGTGGCCATGAGGACTGGATAAGAGGTGTGGAATGGGCTACCTTTGGTCAGTATAAAGTTTTACTAAAGTCTATTTGATGGGTACAAATATGGGTAGCTAAAGTCTATTTGATGGGTACAAATATGGGTAGCTTAGATGAAAATCTCTTTTAATTTTATACATTCTTTATGTATTTTGCTGTTTACAGCTAGGAAAGGGGACACCTTTCCCCTCTCCTGTCTTTTAGGTATTAATTGGTGTAGTAGAGGATGAAGCTGCTTGATCTATAAAAGGACACGTGATTATTACACATACAGACATCCTTGTGAATATATTTGTTTGGGGACTGGGAATGTTTAAGGTTACATTTGGCAGTGCTGCGGGGCTGCCTCTGGCTCTGTGCTTCTGAGGAGGCAGCGGGTGGATGGTTTGGGATGACTGATAAGACTCTAGGAGTGTGGGGCCGTGTGATGCTGGGAATAAAACTGTGTTGGCCATGTGAAAGGCACGCACCTAGGCTCCTGTACTGTCTTTCCACTTCTCTTTTATTTGGTTTTTGGACCACACCTGCTGATGCTCAGGAGGGTTCTGTACTCAGGAGTTACTCCTGGCAATGACTAGGGTACTAGATGACTAGGGTACTTCAAGGATTGAACCTAGGTTGGCCAGGTCCGAGGCACATTTCCTGTCCACTGTACTCTCAATCTGGCTCTAATGTTACTATTTAAAAAAAACTTTTTTGGCCTTTGGGTAAGCCCCAGCACGTGGCAGTGTTCAGGACTTATCCCTGACTCTGTACTTAGAAATTGCTCCTGGCAATACTCTAGACCATGTGGGATGCCTGGGATGAACCTGGTCTGCTATGTACAAGACAAATGCCCTACCTGCTGGACTCTCTACATCCCTCCTTTTATGAAGTTCTTTGTAAAACTTAGTAGCTATATGTAAGAATTATAACAGGTTATAGTAAGCTACTAACATTATATAGATAATAATCACTGTTATTTGGAAGATAAGGATGGAAAATCTTTTTTTTTTTCTTTTTTTGTTTTCTGGGGTAAGGGGGAAGGATGCACACCCAGTGGGTCTCAGGATGTTTCTGGTTCTGTGCTCAGGAATAATCTTTGGAGGTGTTTAGGGTACCATCTACTAGGAAGTGAACAAGGGTTGGCTACATACAAGGCAACTAACTGCCTTACCATCTCTACTATCTCCCAAACCTGTTTTTGAAAAAAGATTTTTTTTGGCAAGTCTAACAACTATGCTCAGGACTTACTCCTGGTTCTATGCTCAGGAATCATGCCTGGTAGTGCTTGGGGGATATTCTGTATGCGAGGGATCAAACCTGTGTTGGCCATGCACAAGGCAAAAGCCCTACCATACTAGACTATTGCTTTAGCCCCAAGTCTTAACTCTTTCAGGAAAACCGAAAATGGGCATATTATAAAGGAGAAAGTCTTATATTAAATTTAAGAGTATAATATTTAAAAATCATGAAATTTGTTTTTTAATTAGGTAAAGATCTCTTCCTAGCAAGCTGTTCGCAAGATTGTTTGATAAGAATATGGAAGCTCTACATAAAATCAGCATCTATAGAAACTCAAGATGATAATATAAAATTGAAAGAAAATACTTTTACTGTGGAAAATGAAGGTAATTAATGAAGATATTTAAGGTAACAGTATTTTTAAGTGTGAGTCATTTTTCATGTATGAAACATTTTTTCTTCCAATCCCTTTCAGTGAGACTTGAATAACTTACGGATAATAGTTTGATATTTTCTTAGTAAGTAAATTTACAAGTATTACTGAATTTGCATAAGAAATATCTAAAGGACCAATGTGAATTATGATTTCTTTGTTAAAGAAGATATTCATGGGTGTGGCCTAAAAATAAATTTTTTTGGTATTTGTTTTTTCTTTATTTTTTTAATTTTTATTAGTGAAACACCATGAGGTACAGTTGTGGACTTACAAGTTTTTGTGCTTGGGTTTCAGTTATACAGTGATCAAGTACCCATTCTTCCATCAGTGCCCATTCTCTACCACCAATGATCCCAATATCCCTCCCACCCTCCATCTCCCCCATCCCACCCCGCCTCTGTGGCAGGGCATTCCATGTGTTCTCTCTCTCCTTTTGGGTGCTGTGGTTTGCAAAAGAGGCATTGAGTGGCAATCATGTTCGGTCTAGAGTCTACTTTCAGCATGCATCTCCCATCCTGGGAGGATCTTCCCAAAACCCTTTGCTTGGTGTTCCCTTCTCTATCTGAGCTGCCTTTTCCCCTAACATGTGTGGCTGGCCTCAAGCTATGGAGTGAACCTCCTGGTACTTATCTGGGCTCTTCTTGGGTGTTAGTCTCTTATTTTCTTACTTTATGTTCCCCAGATGAATGCAATATCTATGTCTGTCCCTCTCTTTCTAACTCATTTCACTTAACATGATACTTTCCATGTAGCACCACTTGTATGTAAATTTCATGACTTCATCTTTTTAAATAGCTACAGAGTACTCCATTGTGTAGATGTACCAAAGTTTCTGTAACCAGTCATCTATTCTCGGACATTCTGTTTTTTTCCAGATTTTGACTATTGTGAATAGTGCAGCAATGAATATAGAAGTGCAAATGTCATTTTGACTGTACTTTAAAGACAATTTTTTTTAAAAAAACATATTCCTAAGAGACAGACTAAATCCTTTTATTTGAATAGTATGTTCAATTCTGAATTTTCTTGTTATATGGCATTGGAATAGCACCTACAGAGTATTGTGGGTTTTTTGATTGTTTTGGGGCCATGCCTGGTAATGCTAAGGGGTAATTCCCGGCTCTGCACTCAGGAAATCATTCCTGGTGGTACTTGAGAACCACATGGGATATCAGGGATCAAACCTGGGTTGACCAAATGCAAGGCAAGTGCCTTACCAGCTGTACTATCTCTTCACCCCTCAGTAGCACCTCAGAATATTGTGGAATATTTCAGAGTTGTTTTTGTTTTGGGGCCAAAACCTGGGATCCTCAGGGCAAGTGCCTTACCACCTCTACTATCTCCCTACTCACTTTTTAAAAGAAGATTTTTTTTTGGTAAGTTTTAACTTTTTATTTTTGGTGGTGGTGAGATAGGTGGTTGGGGACCATACCTGGCTATGCTCAGGGCTTACTCCTGGCTCTGCATTCAGGAATCACTCCTGGTGGTGCTTGGCAGACCATACAGGATACCGGAGATCAAACCCATGTCTGCTGCGCTATTTAACCATTGTGCTATGATTCCAGCCCCTTGCAGTACTGTGTTTTAAGAAATACTTTTGATACTTATTTGAATTAAAAGTTTGATCTTGGCGCCAGAGCTATAGTACAGCAGTTGAAGAGTCCTATATGGTCCTCCAAGCACCGCCAGGGGCAATTCCTGAGTGCAGAGCCAGAAATAATCCCTGAGCATCCCTGGATGTGATCCAAAAGTTTAAAACAAAATCGTGAGTTCATCTGAGTTCAGTCCCTAGCACCCCTTATGGTTCCCTGAGCACTGCCAGCTGTGGCCCATAAACCAAATAGATAAGTTTGTTCAGTGAGTTTTCTTCATCCAGAAATACTTTTGTTGTTAATTTTTTTTTATTAATGTTTTTGTTATAAAGTCTGTTAGAATTGAGATTTTGGTAGCATAATTTGACAAGGAAAACCAAGAAATATATAATAACATATTTTGGTTTTTTTTTTTTGTAGGAGTACTGCTATTTATTCAGCCACTGATTAGCTGATTGAATTGGGCATGAACTCCACCTTACTTTTTTTATTTTTTATAATTTTATTTATTGAATCACTGTGAGACCAGTTACGGGTCTAAGTCTCGGTCATACAATGAAACACCCATACCTTCACCAGTGCCCATTCTCCACCACCAAAAACCCCAGTATACCCCCATCCCACACCCTCCCCCTACCTATGGGGCAGATGATTTCCACGTTACTCTCTCTCTACTTTGATCACATTCAATATTTCGACACCAGACCCACCATTATTATTTGAGATTTTACCCCAACACTCAGATCTGCTGAAAAGGCAACAATAGACAACTTGTGTTCTATTGCTGGTTATGAATAGCATATGATGTCGCGTGGCTGCAATAGGGCCATGTGGTTTTGAAATTCCGAAATTTCAACACTTAAATCTGGAGGGATTTCTGCCAAAAGCCACTGGTTTTTGAGATCTGCTCCTGAGTCTCTGGGATCATGGCCATTGAGCAACTTGATGAGGAGCCAGAGAGGCTGTTCGTGGGCGATGACTTGTGGTCTCGTTGGGGTGGGGAGGACAAGCCCGTCTCCACCCCATCCGTGAGGCCCAACAAGTTTCGTCACTGCGGACCCAAGCCTGACTGTCCAGTGGCCTCTGGAGGATGATGGCCACAAAGCCGCCAGAAGGAAACAGGCGGAGGGACAGCACCCTTTCCCCCCTGGGGTGGCCCGGCGACAGTAACCTACTGCGGGGTCTTGACACATTTCTGCCAAAAGCCGCTGGGTTTCGAAATTTGTTTCTGAGTCTCTAGGATCAAGGCTGTTAAGCAGCTTCATCAGGAGCCAGAGAGGCCATTCATGGGCAATGACTTGGGGTCTTGTTGGGGTGGGGAGGACAAGCCCGGCTCCACCCCCATCCCGTGAGGCCCTGTGTGTCTCATCACTGGCGGCCTAAATGTGACTATCCAGTGGCCTCTGAAGGATGGGGGCCTCTGTACCGCCAGGGGGAACAGGCCAAGGCAAGAAACCTATTCCCACCTGGGTTGGCCCAGCACCGGTAGCCTACTGCAGGGACCGGATGCATTTCTACCTAAAGCTGCTGGGTTCCGAGATTCGTTTCTGAGTCTCTGGGATCATGGCCATTAAGCAGTTCAATCAGGAACCAAAGAGGCCTTGCCTCCAATTATATAGCTGAGCCGGAGGTGGTTTGTGGATGTGTTTTCCACATACCTAACTTTTGGCCGTTTACTTTCTTGGTAAACTTTGCCCCAGGTTTTTGGGGTCTGGCCAAAGGCACAGCAGCAATTTTGGGGTATCTGGAAGTCTGAAGGCGCCATGAGGCTGCTGATGCACTCGCCTCACAGGTACACCTGTGAGGTGGCACCATACCCCCTATATAATAACATATTTTGAATAGCTCTTCTCAGAAATAAGTTTGCTGCTGTTGTAGTACCCGGGGGATTACATTTGTCTTGAGGATTGTGCTAGTTGAGAAAGAAAGAAACTTTCCACTGTAAATTAATTACTGAATTAGTGAAACTGTGTTTTCGGGACTAAATTCAGCCTCTTACACATGCAGACCACCCATGTGTACACTACACAGAACTACATTAGTGAACTTGTATGTGTATGTCTTTTTGTTGGTATTGTTTTGTATTTTTAAAATTTGAGTCACTATGAATTTACAGTGCTGTTAATGATAAAATTTTATGCATGCGATGTTCCTCTATTCTGCTTCCCTCTGCTGTTGTCCCCCCACCATATATCCCCCACCTTTTATGTGTACGTGTGTTTTACTGGGGATCTCAGATACCTAAAACATCCCCTCTTCCATTGGTCTACATCTCTGGGTCCCTGGGTAGGAGTTTTGGTGTTATTTTCATTAGTGCTTTAAAAAGACCACAATACTTGCTGACTTCCTTTTTAAAAAAATGATGGTAATTAGACTTTCATACTCTTACCATGAGTGAGTATATGAGGAAGGGAAACTTAATCTGTGTTTACTTTATAATTGCAGTATAATAGTAGCCATCCCCCAAAATGGAACATGTTTCTCATATTTATTTATGGCTAGGAAGAAAAAATATTATAGATCTTTAGAATTTTCACTTGTGATTTTAAATAGAGGGAAGGTTAATAATTCTTCCCTCTATTTAATGTTCTTTCTATTGACTAAGTATCGTTTTCTGATTTAGGCGGTAATAAATTGCACAACTGAGTTCTAAAAATGTTTTGGGTTTTTTTTTTTAAGAACAGTTTTAAGGAGAGAATACTTCTTCCTTTTGTGTTGCAGGTATTGAAACAGCATTTGCAGTTACTCTGGAAACTGTACTGGCTGGTCACGAAAGTTGGGTGAATGCAGTTCATTGGCAACCTTCGTTTTACAGAGGTAGGAAGAAAACTTTGTTTCAGATTATTTATTTATTTATTTTTGCTTTTTTGGGTCATACCCAGTGATGTTCAGGGGTTTTGTTGGCTCTGCACTGAAGAATTACTTCTGGAGGTGCTTGGGGGAACCATATGGAATGCCTGAGATTGAACCCTAGTCTGCCGCGTTCAATGCCCTATCTGTTGTACTATCACTCTAGCCCTGATGAATCTTGTATGTGGAGTTTTAAGCTGATAAGGTGAAGGATTTTTTGATGTGAGGGTGCCACATACGGCGTGCTCAGGGGCTATATCTGGCTCAGTGTTTGGGGAGTTGGTCCTGCTGCTGTTGGAGGAACCTGTGGTACCAGGGATTACACACAGTCCTTCTGCATACAAGGAGCATGTGTGTGCTTCGGCCCATGCGCTGTCTCTGCAGTCCTTGGATTATCTTTTTAAGTATGATTAGAAATCTCAAGTCTAAGATTTCAAATTGGCAAAGATTAACACAGCAGCATTGTTCTGCTGTACACTTTAAAAATTGTGTGTGGCCAGACTGATAGCATAGTAGTTAGGATGTTTGCCTTGCATGTGACCAACCCAGGTTTGATCCCTAATACCACATATGGTCCTCCTGAGCCTGCCCGGAGTGATCCCTGAGCACAGAGTCAGGAGTAAGCCCTGAGCATAACTGGGTGTGACCAGAAACCAGTAAAAAATTAAATTAAATTGTGTTCTTGCAGAGATGCATATAACCCCTGACCATTATTGGGTGTGGTAACCTGAAAAAAAATGTTGTCCTCTTGAGTGGGTAAAGTAGTATACTATGATGCTTGAACCACTACAGCTGTTAACTTTTGCTCTTGGAAGTTTCCGCCTTTTTTTTTTTTTTTGGCCACATCTGACAATGCTCAGGGGTTACTCCTGGCTCAGTGCTTAAGGATTGCTCCTGGTGATGCTTCAAGGACCGTGTGGTGCTGGTGATGGAATCCAGGACCCCTGCATGCAAAGTTTTTGCACTGCAATCTGTTGAGCTGTCTCTTCCAGGCCAATCTACTTAATCTTTATAGGATTTAGATGAAATAGACTTAAGCTGAAACTTTTAGTCTTGGTTAAAAAATAAAACAACGGGGCTTGGAGCAATAGCACAGCGGGTAGGGCATTTGCCTTGCACGCGGCCGACCTGGGTTCGATTTCTAGCATCCCATGTGGTCCCCTGAGCGCCGCCAGGGGTGATTCCTGAGTGTAGAGCCAGGAGTAACCCCTGTGCATCGCTGGGTGTGACAAATAAAACAAGCAGAAACAACCCCTCCCCCCAAAATAAACAAAAAAAGGGCTCGCTCTTTATTTACTCCATCCGTCTCAATTTCTGGCCATGACAGTTATGTGCATGCAAAATTGATGCTAAAGAATAGAAAATAAAGTGCAGTTTCAATGCTTCCTTCAAACTCTTCCCCAAGATAAGAATAAAGTAGATGGACAGAGAAAGTAACAAGGTTAAGGCATTAGCCTTGCATCTTGGATATGTGCATATATAACCTTAACTCACCCCCCTCATACCCTAAGTACTGCAGGGTCACTCCTGAGCAAAGAGCCAGGAGTAGATACCACAACTGGGTGTGACTCAAAAATCAAAAACGTTTTAAGGGAATAGAGAGGGGCTGCAGAGAAGGGTTAAGGTGCATGCCTTGCTTCTGGTCAAACTTAATTCAGTCCCTGGTACCAGGTGGTCCCCTGAGCACTGCCTGATCCCCTAAGCACTGCCAGATGTGGCCCAAAAAGAAAACCAAAAAATAGCTGCATTGAATAATTCCAGTTTACTTTTCTTCTAGTTGTAGACATTTGTGTTTCAAAAATGTTGCTCATTGGGCCAGAGGGTAAGGCCTTGCACATGGCCTACCCAGGTCTGAACCCTGCCATTTCATATGGTCCCCTGAGCCCGCCAGTAGTAATTCCTGAGTAACCCCTAAACATTATTGGTTGTGGTCCCCAAATATTGCTATTAGAAAGATTACTACAGTGAATATTTTTGCCATTCCAGTCTTGGGTTTTTGTTTTTATCTTATTTCTTATCGACATGCTTGTCACATAAAAACATTTTAATTTTTTTAGATGGCATTCTGCAGCAGCCAATGAGATTATTGTCTGCGTCAATGGATAAAACAATGATTCTCTGGGCTCCAGACGAAGAGTCAGGTGTTTGGCTAGAACAGGTAAAGATTTGGAAATTTAAACAGAATATTGGGTTTCAAATCTCAATATTTTTATCCCAATTTTATATTCCTAGAGCTGAAATTTTTTGCATTTTTGCATATATTTAGTAAGTGAAAATTTAATACTTAGATGGTTTCTGTTGTGAGAAAAGTGGGCTATTAAGAATTGCGCTTTTTTTTTGGCATAGGTTCGAGTTGGTGAAGTAGGTGGAAATACTCTGGGATTTTATGATTGCCAGTTCAATGAAGATGGATCCATGATCATTGCTCATGCTTTTCATGGAGCTTTGCATCTTTGGAAACAGAATGCAGTTAACCTGGTAAGAAAAGCCCTTTTATTTTATTTTTTGGTTTTTGGTTCACTTCCAGTGGTGCTTAGGGATCACTTCCGGCAGTACTGGGGGACCATATGCAGGATCAGGGATCGAACCAGAGTTGGCCACTTGCAAGGCAAATGTCTTTCCTGCTGTACTGTCTCTTCAGTCCCCGCAAAAGCCCTTTTAAATAAAACATTTCTTCTTTCTTATTTGGGCCATAACCAGTGATATTTGGATCTTACTCCTGACTCTGTGCTCAGGGATCACTCCTGGCAGGCTTGGGGGACCATATGTGTACCGGGAATCAAACCTCGATTGGCGACATGTGATGCAAGGGTCTTGCCCTCTGTAGTATCTCTCCAGCACCTTAAGTAAAACATTTCTGATCAAATTGATAGTGTTGTTTTACTCAGATATAGTAGATGTTTTTAAGTTTAAGTGACATCACTTTTTGTGGATATTATACTGTAATTATACAAGGTGAGAAACCCTTGCTTTTCTAAGAGTAGAATTCACTTGTCTGGCATTGTTAAAATTTGCACAGAGGTCAATTTTCTATATGAATAAAATTTTGTTGTTGTTTTTGGCCACACCTGGTGTTGCGCAGGGGTTACTCCTGGCTCTGTACCCAGGAGTACAGAGTCCAGGCAGTGTTCAGGGCACCATGTGGGATACAAGGGATCGAACCTCAGTTAACCACCTACCAGGCAAATGCCATATCCACTCTACTATTGCTTTGACCCCTCAGTTACATGAATCTTACACTTTTCCTTTAAACCTTTTTTGGAAGTAATCTTAAACATATAATTCTATTTTTTAAAGATAGCATAAATTGATAATCCTTTTGCTTTTAATTTGATTTTTCTACTGTTGTTGTTATGACCACATCTGGTAGTATTTGGGCCACTCCCAGTGGTGCTGTTGCCATGTGGTACTGGTAACAAACCCAGTGCCCTGCCCGTACCATATGTGTCCTCTGCCACTTGAGCTGCATCCCTGCCCCAGGGGCTGATGAGAGGGCTTTAGGTGCATCTGTTATTTTGTAGTGGAATATATTGCTTTACTTAGGTACTTTTTTGGGGTGGGGAGATTGGACCACATCTTGACTCTGTGTTCAGAGATTATTTATGGTGTGCTTAGCCATATGCAGTTCCAGGAATCAAACTGGGGTCAGGCTCATGAAAGGAAAGCGCCTTAACCCCTATATATCTCTCTGGCCCCTCTCAGTGGTTGTTAGTATTGTCGTGCCAAATGGCTTCTCAAAAAATAGGTGCCATTTTTTATTTTTCTTACCTACTTGGTTTCCTTTCAAAGAGGAAAAGTCTTCCTTTGGTCATGTAGATATCTTTTGGATAGTATTCTGTTTCTTACTAAGTTGGTTCAGATCATCTGTTTCTTAGGGTTTGGGATGTGAGATACTAGAAATACACTGGCTAAGAAAATAGTCTCAAAACTGGGCAGACTAGGGCTGGTGGTAGGTGTGTGTGTGTCTATGGCTCTTACTCCTGGCTCTGCACTCGGTCACTCCTGGCACTGCTCAGGGGACCGCCTGACCTTGAAACCCATTCAGCCATGTACAAGACAAGTACCTTGCCTGCTATACTATTCTCTGGCTCTGAGTGTGATTTTAAAAATCAAACTAGGGGGCTGGAGTGACAGTACAGCGGGTAGGGCGTTTGCCTTGCATGTGGCTAACCGGGGTTCGATTTCCAGCATCCCATATGGTCTCCTGATCACCGTTCGGGGTAATTCCTGAGGGCAGAGTCAGGAGTAATCCCTGTGCATCGCCAGGTGTGACCCAAAAAGAGAAAAAAAAAAATCAAACCAACACTACACTTTGGGACCTGTGGAAAACTCAAGGTCCAAAGTGCTGCCCTTTGTTCAGAAATTTTTTGAAACTCCTTTTTGTGCTATCTTTGGGATTACTTTTTATATCCTAGGGTAAATTAATAACATTCCTTTGTTATTAATTTTTAACAGATAAAAAAAATTGGCCAGAAAAATAATACAGCTTAGCTTAATCACTTGACCACATACCACATTTATCAGCCTTGGTTTTGAACTTTTTTTTTTTTTTTTTGCTATTCTTTTCTAATTTGACTTTCTTTTAAAGATGAAAACAATTTTTTTTGTTATTAATGTTTTTGGGTTTTTGCTCGGAGCTTACTCCTGGCTCTACACTGAGGGATCACTCTTGGTGTTACTCAGAACCATATGAGGTGCCAGAGATTGAATCTGTTGTTTCTGAAGGCAAGAGCCTTACGTACTGTATTATTTCTTCATTCCTAATGATGAAGTTTTACTAATACTTAGTGTTGCTTAAAAAGGGCTGGAGCGATAGCACAGCAGGTAGGGTGTTTGCCTTGCACACAGCCAACCTGCCCGACCCGAGTTCGATTCTTCCGCCCCTCTCGGAGAGCCAGGCAAGCTACTGAGAGTATCTTGCCCGCATGGCAAAGCCTTGGCAAGCTACCCATGACATATTCCACATGCCAAACACAGTAGCGAGTCTCACAGTATTACTGGGCCCGCTCGAGCAAATCGATGAACAACGGGAGGACAGTGACAGTTGCTTAAAAAGACACTTTGTGGGCCAGACATAGAACATTTACCCATTTCATTGTCAGTACAGAATATACAGAATATATTTACCTGGTTGCTGGTGATGATTCCCTTAAGAGGTGGATGAGCTTGGGCATATTAGGTGTCTTTCCTGTATCCCTGCAGCTGTCTCTGAAAGCTTTCTGGGACCTGGAGGGATAGTAGAGAGAGTAAGACTCATACATGCCTTGCATGCATCTTACCCCAGTTGAATCCTTGGCACCATATGGTTCTCCAAGCATTGCTGGATGCAGCCCTGAGGCCCTCCAGTATGATCATTGTGTTCCAGGTAATCCCAGCACTGCAGCATATTTTCAGGCCTTTGTGTTGAACTTCTGGCCTGATTGGCCAAGGACTTTGCTTTAGCCCCCAGGCTTCCTAAACACCCTCAGCTTGGAAGGTTAAAATAATAAAAAAGAAGAAAGATGGGGCTGGAGCAATAGCACAGCTAGTAGGGCGTTTGCCTTGCACGCAGCTGACCCGGGTTCGATTCCCAGCATCCCATATGGTCCCCTGAGCACTGCCAGGGGTAATTCCTGAGTGCAGAGCCAGGAGTAACCCCTGTGCATTGCTGGGTATGACCCAAATTTTTCATTTCATCATCCTGTTATTCGTCGATTGCCTCGAGCAGGCCCCAGTAACGTCTCCTTCATCCTAGCCCTGAGATTATATTCAAGGCTCTTTAGGAGAATGAGACCCATCATTGTTACTGGTATTTGGCATATTTGGTAGGTCACGGGGAGTTTGCCAGACTCTGCCCTGTGGGCAGGCTACATTCGATAGCCTGCAAGTTTGTCCAAAGTAGGAATGAGATAATAAGATGTCATAAAAAGATGTCCTGATGTGATGTCGCGCGGCCGCATTAGTCTCTGAGTCTTGGCCGTTGATGGGATTACACGGCGCCAGGGGGCCCGCCTACTGGAATTTGGAGGATCTGGGTGGAGGATGCTTGACTCCAATCCGAGTAGGCTTGGAGGTCTCGGCCCCGGAACCCGCGTGGATTTGTCCCTCTGCCAGTACCTTCATTTGTGCGGAGAGTGGTCTCAGCATGGGAGTGGCTGGTCCTGGAGGTCTTCGGCTGCCGGGTATGACCCAAAAAGCAAAAAAAAATTAAATAAAATAAAAAAGAAGAAAGAAAGATTTCCAGGTATCTCTCAGAATCCAGTAAATCATTGAACAATTTTTTGTTTTGTTTTGGTGTTGGGGATTGAAGCTAGGGTCTTATACATGGGAAGTAGGAACTCAGCCCTGAGTGACATTCCCTAACAAATAAATACAGCATATATGATACCATGTACCTTGTATATACCTGTCATTCTTTGTGGTTTCCAAATTGAAAAATCATTTAGTCTTTTACCTTGACCATATGAGCTTGGTCTGAACCTTTTCTTAAGAAGGTTATTTGGGGTATAGTAAAGTTAAGTGTCTTTAATAAAGTTAAAAGTTCTAGGAGGCATTTGATAAGTGATAGATGGAGAGGAGTTTCTTACAGTTACTCTTTTAAATGATGTGACACTATTGATTACGTAAGTTCTAATATGCTTGACTCTCTTAATAATTCTCTTTATAAATGGGTTCTCTTATTTTAAGATCTGGTCTTGGATACTTACCTTATTACTGTGCTTGGATCCTTTAGTCTTTCCCATCATCTGATTGGAGAGCTGGGGCCACTATCAGACATTTTTTTGATGTATTATAAACACTTTCATTGCAGAGAGAGTGGACTCCAGAGATTGTCATTTCAGGACACTTTGATGGTGTCCAAGATCTGATATGGGATCCAGAAGGAGAATTTATCATCACTGTTGGTACTGACCAAACTACACGACTTTTTGCTCCATGGAAAAGGAGAGACCAATCACAGGTAAAATGTCTTTCTGTTTAACTGAAATAGGTAAAAGGGGGGAAAAAAATCCTTGAGCACATAAAAATTAAGAGCATCATCGTTAGCTCTTAGGAAAATGCTAATTGAAACTCTGCCAGAATAATTGCGTTTTTAATCTAAGAAGGTAGAAATAGAGTAGTAATACTGTGAATAGCAGTTGTTGGTAAGGATGCAGAGGAGCTAGACCTTTTTTTATTATTGCATGGAATTGCAAAATAGTATATCCATTTTGCAAAACAGTTTTACATTTTCTCAGAAAGCTTAGATCATACATACTCTAAAATTCTAAGAATTTGAATGTAATTAAATACCTCATTGTGTCATAATTTTAGACTTAATTCATAAAAAGTACTATCAAGGGGTTGAAGCAATAGTACAGCGGATAGGGAACTTGCCTTGCATAAGGCCACTGCAGGATCAGTTCCTGGCATTCCATTGCATATGGTCCCTTGAACACTACTAGGAACACTACTAGTAAACCCTGAGCACTGCCAGGTGTGCCCTCCTATCCACACTCACCCAAAAGAGAAGTACTATCAAATTTGGAGTAAAAGGTAATTGTTAATTTTATAGTGTTGTGTCATTGTGGTTGAGAGGATTTCTTGTTGGAAAAACTACGTCTTCATCCTGACCTCAAAAAAATGCACTAAGATTTTATTACACTGCTATTGCAAAGCTATCAAATTGCTGTATGGTAGAGTCAGTCTGCTCAGCTTTTTTGTTTTTGTTTTTGTTTTTGGTTGAGGGCCATATCTGGCATTGTTCAGGGCTTACTCTTAGCTCTGTGCTCAGGAATTTCCCTTGGCAGGGCTCAGGAGACCATATGTGGTACTGGAGAGTGAACCCAGGTCACCTGTGTGCAAGGCAAGTGCCTTATCTGCTGTACTATCTCTATGAGTCCCTCAACTTTAATTTTTGACAAAAGTTCTCAGTCCCTGAGACCTAATAAAGTTTGCTAGTGTCATTACTAACTCAATTACACATGGTATTAATGTTGAGGGCATTGAAAATATAAGTAGTCAATTATAAAGTATGGCAAATGCACTACTGCAGCCATGTGACATCACATGTTATTCATAACCAGGAAAAGAAAACAAATTGTCTACTGTTGCCTTTTTAGCAGATCTGAGTGTTGGGGTAAATCTCAAATAATAATGGTGGGTCTAGTGTCAAAATATTGAATGTGATCAAAGTAGAGAGAGAGCAACGTGGAAATCATCTGCCCCACAGGTAGGGGGAGGGTGTGGGATGGGGGGATACTGGGGTTGTTGGGGTTGGAGAATGGGCAGTGGTGAAGGTACGGGTGTTTCATTGTATGACCGAGACTTGGACCCAAAAGCTTTGTAACTGCTCTCACGGTGATTCAATAAATAAAATTATAAAAAAATTTTTAAAAAGTAAGGTGGAGTTCATGCACAATTCAGTCAGCTAATCAGTGGCTGAATAAATAGCAGTACTCCTACATAAAAAAAAAAGTATGGCAAATGATTTAGAGTAATTTTATTTGACTCTTCATGATCTTTTGCTGAAAATATTGGAAAACTATTTAAACAACATACAAAGTTTCTTTTTGAAAGGCATTTGTCAGGAAAATGAAAAGAAAGTCACAAACTGAATTTAAAGGAACTTAAAAGAACTCAATATGCAGAATATTTTCAGAACTCAAGAAAACAAACACGATGAAAGTGGACAAAATATTTAAGTAAATATTTACTCTGGCCCCTATATATCCTTTTCTTAAAGGAGGATATATAGGGGCCAGAGAAATAGTACGTGGATTAAAGCGCTTGCCTTTTACATTGACGATCCCAGTTTGATGCCTGACACTGCATATGGTCCCTTAAGCACTACCAGGAGTGACCCATGAGCACTCCTGAACTTAGATTCTCACTTAAATACCCACCACCAACAAAGAAGGTATATAGATCGTAAAAGAAGAAAGGAAAAGATTCTTTGGACTGGAGACCAGCTATAGGCACTAAGGTGCTTGCCTTGCATGTCACTGACCCTCGTTCGATTTCTGGCACTGAGCACCACTAAGGGTCACTCCTGAGCACTGTCGGGTGTGACAAAACCCTCCCATTTCTGACTCCCTGCAGAAAACAACAGAGGTTCTCCAAACTATCCATCATTCATTGGGGGAATGCAAATTAAAGGTTCAGTGTGATACCTTTACCTACCTGTTAGGATAATTGTAGTTAGACTGACTATATCAGGTGTTTGTGAGTGTGTGCATTACTGGAATTCTCACACACTGCTGGTATGATTGCAAAACAATGCAACCACTTGGAAAATAATTTGGCATTCTCTAAAAGGTTGTGTATACTGGACCTTTTTAGTCTTTTAACACTCCAGAACAAAGCAAAAAACTGGAGAGCTAACTCATAGGACTGAAGCTCATGTTTTGCATAAAGGGGGCATGGGTTTGCTTTTTGTGTCACATCCAGCGATGCTCAGGGGTTACTCCTGGCTTCACACTCAGGAATTACTCCTGGCGGTGCTCGGGGGACCATATGGGATATTGGGAATCGAACCCAGGTTGGCCAAACGCCCTACCCGCTGTGCTTTCACTCCAGCCCCAAGCTTTTTAATACACTGGATCCAAGGATAGTTCAGTGGTAGAACCCACCTTCTATATAGGCTTGAGAACACAAGATCCCTTACACAACTGCATGTTCATTCCAAATATGATCCAGTGGAACAAGTGTGTGATCTCCACACCATGTAATCAAATGTCTGATACCCCTCAGTCATCACAACAACAAAGGGAAGGGAAGGGAAAGGAAGGGAGATAATTTTCACATCAATATCTACAACTCATCCCACCATTCTTCACATAGGTAGTAATTTACTCGAGACACAGAAGCATACACACACACACACATACACACAAAGACTTGTACACAGATGTTCATAACTACTTACTTCAGTAAGAGCCAGAAGCCATAAACAATTTAAACATCAGTCAGTAGTTGACTGGATCAACAGGTTGTTGTATATCCATTCAAGGGAATACAACATGCATGCGACCACAGCCGTGACAGGATTCAAATCCTCACATTGCATCTACTCTGCTGAGCACCACGAGGAAGGCCCCTGAGCACAGCCAGTGTATGTCACCACCCTTGAAAAAAAATTCCAAGGGTTAATATTGTTCATAAAAAGACTTGAATGCAGCATATGTGAATCTGCACTGTGGTTATAATTCCATAACATAATTTGTTGCCAATAGTTTTGCTTATTGAGAAGAATTTGGTTTTTGAAATTAGGTCATTTTTATTTGTGCTGTTTTAATACCCAGGTGACATGGCATGAAATTGCAAGACCGCAGATACATGGATATGATCTGAAATGTTTGGCAATGATTAATCGGTTTCAATTCGTATCTGGAGCAGATGAGAAAGTTCTTCGCGTGTTTTCTGCACCTCGAAACTTTGTGGAAAATTTTTGTGCCATTACTAACCAGTCATTGAATCATGTACTTTGCGACGTGAGTATCTTCCTAAACACTTTAATAAGTTATTTCATTTAAAATTTTTAAATGTTTGTCAAGTCTAAAGAGTATATGAATATCAAGGAAGTCAGATCATTCATCCTCAGCTTGGCACACTGTGTGCACTTTGATATATGGTTATTTAAGATGAAAGTTTTTCTAAGAAACATGTTGTATAGTAGGTGGGGTTAGAGAGTGCTTAGCATTCCATGGGTCTAGAATGGAAGTATGGGCAGGACTTCACATAAGGTTGCCTTTAAGCTGCTTCCAAACATTTCTGAGCATTTTGGAGGGGGGAGGACACCCCTGCAGTGCTCAGAGCTTACTCTTGGTTCTGTGCATAGGAATCACTCCTGATTGTACTTGGGGGACTGTATGTGATGGGGATTGAACCCTGGTCAGCACCATGCAAGGCAAACGTCCTTCCCATTGTACTGTTGCTACATTGAGCACATTTTTATTTCTTTTTTATTTTTTTAATTAAAATTTTTTTGTATGTGTTTGGGACACAGGGATGCTTGAGGTTTATGCCTGACTCTGCGCTCAAGAATTATTTTAGGTGGGGCTTGTGGGGGGACCATATAAGATACCAGGATTTAACCTGGGTTGACCTCTAAAAGGCAAATTCCCTACCCATTATACTATCCCTGTGGCCCCAGGCACATTTTTATGGTACCAGAGATAAAAGATAACTTTCTGCATATGTAGTTTTTTGTTTTTATTTGCTTATATCTTACTCCTGAGGGCTCTGCACTCAGGGATCATCTTGGCAGGAGTCAGGCTCAGGGGACCATTTTTGATTCTGGGGATAGAACCTGGGTTAGCCACATGCAAGGCAAGCACCCTATCCACTACACTGACTCTCCAGTCCCAGCACTTAGAATATTATGTCATACCCTTTTTTTCCCTTTTTTTGGTTTTGGGGCTATACTCGGTGATACTCAGGGATTACTCCTGACTGTGAACTCAGGAATAATGCCTGGCAGTGCTTCAGGGTACCATATATGATGCTGGGGATCAAACTCTGGTCAGCCCCATGCAAGACATGTCCCGTATCAACTGTCCAAGCTCTCCAGTCACAATATTATACTTTTTATTCCAGCAAGATGGTGATCTTCCAGAAGGAGCAACTGTCCCTGCTTTGGGTTTATCAAATAAAGCTGTATTTCAAGGTAAGGCTTTAGTCTCCAAATTATTGAACTCACAGTTGGTGGCTTTACTGCTGGACCTGTTAGCAGACATTGAAACTTACATTCATGTTATTGGTGGGTTCCTTTTAAACTAGGAGATATAACTTCTCAGCCTTCTGATGAAGAGGAGTTGCTAACCAGTAGTGGTTTTGAGTATCACCAGATGGCCTTTCAACCTTCCATACTTACTGGTAAGAAATGACAAAACAGTCATTTAGTTGGTCAGATGATACCTGTTTTCTCTGAAATAAGTGCTATAGAGTTTATTTCCTTGAAAATAGAAAAAGCAGTTGCAATATTATATATTTATTGTAGAGCCTCCCACAGAAGATCATCTTCTGCAAAATACTCTGTGGCCTGAAGTTCAGAAACTGTGAGTAATACCCAGATCTCTCAGATTCTTGTCATAACGTATGGTGTTTTTCCTGACTCCGCTTGATTTTTTTTGTTTTCCTTTTTTTGGGTCACACCTGGCTCAGCACTCAGGAATTACTCCTGGCAGTACTCAGGGGACCATATGGAATGCTGGGAACTGAACCCGGGTCGGCCGCATGCAAGGCAAACGCCACTGTATCGCTCCAGCCCCATCAGCTTAATTTTTTTTTTTTAATTTTTTGCTTTCCTCTTGCAGTTTTACCCCCTCCTTGATATTTTGGTGATTATTTATAATGATGAGAATCAAATTTGACATAGATAAGATCTTGCTGTGTGTCCTTTATTAGTCCTTTTGTTTATCATCTTTTGTTTTGTTTTTGTGTCACACCCAGTGGTGCTCAGGGCTTATTCCTGGCTCTGCGCTCAGGAATCACTCCTTGCTGATTCAGGGGACCATATGGGGTGCTGGGGATTGAACCCAGGTTGCCCACATGCAAGGCAAATGCCCTACATGCTCTGCTATCCTTGTGGCCCCTGATCTCTTTGTTTTAGTTTTGGGGCCTCACTTTGCTGTGCTCTGGGCTCACTCCTGGCTCCATGCTTAGGAAACTATATATGATACCAGGGATCCAACCCAGGTCAGGTACATGTGAGGTAAAATGTCCTACCCACTGTAATTCACCCTTACTCTTTATTTTTGTCTTAAAATTATGATAATTTTTGTTTTTGGGACATCTCCAGCAGTGCTCAGAGGTTACTCACAATTCAGTGTTGGGGGTTGCTCCTGACTGTGCCTGGGGAAGCATACAGGGTTGAGGATCAAAGTTGGCCCTTCTGTATGCAGTCCAGCCTATTGAACTCTTTGTCTTTGGCCCTGGGCTTCACTTTTAAGCTAAAAAGGCATAACATCTATTTTTTATCCAGTCTCTAAATAGAATTAAGATTTTTTATTTTAATCTGGGTTTTTCTTCAGTATTTCCCCATCAAAGCCTCCCTTTGATCTATGCTTATTGTGCTGGTTGGCTGGCATTGAAAATTAATCTACTTGAACTGTAATACTTCCCAAAAGTGCACTTTTAAAAGTTGTAGTCTCTTTTTTTCCCAAAATGTTTGCCTAGACTGAAATGTAGTGTTCCTTAAAAAAACTTACTACAGATTGCTAGGGGTGGATACTGTCCTTTTCACATTTTAAGATTTTGCAGTTTAAGGAGCTAGGAGCAATAGCACAGCGGGTAGGGCATTTGCCTTGCATGCAGCCGACCCGGGTTCAATTCCCAGCATCTGCCAGGGGTGATTCCTGCGTACACAGCCAGGAATAACCCCTGTGCATCGCTGGGTGTGACCCAAAAAGAAAAAAAAGATTTTGCAGTTTAAGATTAAATATATTTAATTTGTTAATTTCCATTTCCTCTTTTTAAATTTTAGATACGGCCATGGTTATGAAATATTTTGTGTTACTTGTAATAGTTCAAAGACTCTGCTTGCCTCAGCTTGTAAGGTAGGGAATTTTATTTTCACTCACTTGGTCTCAGGGTATTAGGCCATCAGACTCTTGTAAATTGGTAGTGATTTAGACCGGTGGTCTTCAGCCACTGGTGTACAGCTCAGTGTTGGTCTGTGTCTGTGGAAAAAAACCACTGGTTAATTACCTTGGTTATAACTGCTGGTCCATGGATGGTATGTAGGCAGATACTGGCCCCCAGGTATTAAGCTTTGAAGAACTTGATTGAAAATGCACAGCAAGAAAGGACACTGGTAATCCCTTCTTTATCTGGGTCTTGCTTTCTTAATCTCTTTTTCTTTTGACTCTTTAAAATCTTGCAATTGCTTTCCTGTGGTGTTTTTGTTTGTTTGTTTGTTTGCTTGCTTCTTTCTTAGTGTCAAGGCTTCAGGATCCCAGGGTCTTGAACATGTGAGAGACATGCCTTCTACCTTTGAGCCATATCCCAGTCCTATGATTGTATTTTAACTCTGTTACAGTGGTAAAGTTTTGATATTAAGTGGTTTGAGTCACATTCCCAGCCCTCAGTTTACTGAAATTTTACTTTAAACTTTTATGCGTCGTATATGAGATGTTTACATGTTTACATGTGTAGTTTTCTTTCTGCATAATTGTCTTTCCTGGTTTTTGCATCAGAGTAATGCTAGCCTAAAGATATATTGTCTTTTCCATCATTTTCTGGAAGAATTTATCTAGAATTATTGTTATTTCTTCTTTACATCACTGTATCACTGTCATCCCATTGATCGTCGATTTACTCAAGCAGGTGCCAGTAACCTCTCTATTTCTCCCAGCCCTGAGATTTTTCTTTTTTTCTTCTCAAGAGGTTACTCCTGGCTCTACACTCAGGAATTACTCCTGGAGGTGTGTGGGAACCATATGGGATGCTGGGAATCGAACCCAGGTTTGCCACGTGCAAGGCAAACACCCTACCTGCTGTGCTGTCGCTCCAGTCCCCTAGCCCAGAGATTTTAGCAGCCTCTTCTTACTCATCTTTTCCCAATGATTGGAGGCTCTTTCAGGGTGAGGAGAATGAGACCTGTTGTCTTTACTGTATTTGGCATATCAAATATGCCACGGGGAGCTTGCCAGGCTCTGCCCGTGTGGGCGGGATATTCCTGGGACACTTTCTTAGTAGCTTGCTGGGCTCTCCGAGAGGCAGTTGCCTACTATTTAAATATTTGTTGTAATTTCCTAGTGCAGTCAATTAATTGATCCCAGCATTTCCTTTGTGTAAGGTTTTTTTTTCTTTTTTTTGTCTTTTTGGGTTCACACCCAGTGGTGATGTTCAGGGTTTACTCCTGGCTCTGCATTCAGGAATGACTCCTGGCAGTGCTCAGGGGACCATGTGGGATGCCGGGGATTGAACCCTGATTGGCTGTGTGCAAGGCAAATGCCCTCTCCACTGTGCTATCACTCTGGCCCAGTGGAAAGTTTTTTAAGTACAAATGTAATTTCTTTGATTGATACAAGCTTATTTAATATTATCCATGAAATAAGTGGTAGTAGTTAGTGCAAGTAGGTAGTTTTTATTTTTTCAGGAAATTTGCTTTTACCTGAGTTATCAAATTTGTTGACATGAAGTTATTTGTAATATTCCCTATCTTTCATTATCTGAAGACTCTCCTGTGACGTTACCTTTTTGATTTCTATCATTGTCAATTTATATGTATTTTCTTTCTCATATTCTGGGTTTTTTTTTTTTTTTTTTTGGTTTTTGGGTCACACCTGGCAATGCACACAGGGTTTACTCCTGGTTCTGCACTCAGGAATCACCTTTGGCGATGCTCTGGGGACCATACAGGATGTTGGGAATCTAACCCGGGTCAGTCACGTGCAAGGCAACCGCCCTACCTGCTATGTTATTGCTCCAGCCCCCTCATATTCTGTTTTTTTGATTTAAAAAAAATTGGGTAGAGGATCATTCTGGAAATTAATTAGGAATTTAATGATTTTATTGATTTTTTAAAAGAGCCAAAGAGCTATTTTTTTTTTGTTTGTTTGTTTTGGGCGATACCCAACAGTACTCAAGGATGACTCTAGGGGAACTATAGGAGTTGATGGGGATTGAACCTGGGGGTTGACCTCATGCAAGGCAAACACTGTACCTGCTGTAGCCCCCCTTAGCTCCCTCTGGCTTCAGGTGCTTTTTTTTGTTTTGTTTTGTATTGTTTCAGATAAGAATAGTGTAATTTTTCTTTCTTATTCAGTAAAGGATTTTCCTTTTCTATGGTATTTATCACTGGGTTGACACAATTTGATTATCGTTGACATACTTTTCCTAATTTTCTTTTTTTCCCCCTTAATTTTCTTCTGTGTGGGTATTACTGAATTTCTTGCATCAGTGGTTTTATTGTTTTTAATTTGAAAACATTCCAACCAATATCTTTTTAAGTTGTAGGGGTTTTTTTTTTTGATGGGGAGGGATTGGGTTTGGGCCATACTCAGCTATGCTGAGGGTTATTCCTGGGTCCATGCTCAGAGATCACTTCTGATGGGGCTTAGGGGACCTTGTATGGTGCCAGATTTTCAACGTATGTCAGCTTCAAGGGAAACACGTTTCCCATTGTACTATCTCTTCATTCTTTCAAAGTAGTTTTTGTTTGGTTGGGGCCATACTCAGTAAAGCCAGGGGTTATTCCTGGCTCTGCACTTGGAATCACTCCTGGTGGTGCTTGGGACCACATGGGTTGTCGGGGATTGAACCCAGGTCAGCCATATGGAAGGCATTGCCTTATTTGCTGTACTACCTCCCTATCCCCTAAAGTATTTTTTTTACTCCCATTTTTTGGGGTGGGGGGGATGACTTTAGTTTGGCTTGCATTTATTTATATATTTATTGAAGTAAAAACATTTTATTTGGAGGGTTTTTGAAGGTGTAGAGGGGGAGAGAGTGAGAGAGTAAGGCGCTAAAGAGAACGCAGGTTTCTCCAAGGGTGGAGAAAGCCCCTACACACATCCCAGCATTAGACATGAAAGCATGAAAGTACACATCTCAAAAGGGGAGATGCGGACGACACATGTGCTCGGGCACCACATGTGCTTGGCCACGACGCAAGCAGCACATGGGCTCGGGCAGCATATATGTCCAGTTCCACTTTTATTTAGCTGTTAAAAGTAACCTTTTTTTTTACCATACTATATGCTTGATTTTCTCTCTCAAGCACCAGTGTTCTTTGTCGACAGTTATCTAATATTTTGAAACACTATTTTATGTATTTTGTCTGATTTTTTTTTTCACACTGACTCCTATTACACTGTATTAGCCAAAATTGGAGTTCTCTGTACTGTTAATTACACATACCCAAAAGTATTCTTTATATGTGTTTGGGTTTTTTTTTTTTTTTGGTTACACCAATAATGCTTGGGGGAGTATGAATTGAACCCAAAGATTGAACCCAAATTTCTGCATTCAAAGCATATACTTAGCCCATTGGGCTCTCTCTTTAGCCCTCCAAATGTATACTTGTGAAATATTGGAATATGATTACTATATCAGTCTTTGATGATTCATATTTTCTAATTTTGCTAAATTAGAAAAAATTATAACTGCAAAAATTATATAGCTGTATCTGCCTTATCAGAATTTGTTTTTGCATTCACAAAGGCATAAAATATACCCATAGAAGCAATATAATATTTTAAAAGCATCCCCCCAAGTTTATTTTTAATTAAATAGTTCTGCCATTTTCTTTCTGCCCTGCAGGCAGCTAAGAAGGAACACGCAGCAATCATTCTTTGGAACACAACATCTTGGAAACAGGTGCAGAGTTTAATTTTCCACAGTTTGACTGTCACACAGATGGCTTTCTCTCCTAATGACAAGTTCTTCCTGGCCGTTTCCAGAGATCGAACCTGGTCGCTTTGGAAAAGGCAAGACACAGTCTCACCAGGTAGACCTGCTTTTCTTTTTTAAAATGGTTCATTTAAAAGCTCCCATGGTTTCTAGAGAGCCCTGCAGTGTTGGAAATCAAACTCAGGGACCTGTACGTGCTAGGCAAGTTGTGCTCTGTCACTTAAGCTGTCTCCTCAAACCAGGTAAAGCTACTTTGGGATTTTTGTTTTGTTTTGGGGCCACACCCAGTGATACGCAGGGCTTCCTTCTGGGTCTCTACTCAAGGATCACTCCTGATGGTGCTCAGGGACCTTACGTCATCAGGGATAGAATTGGGGTTGACTAAGATAAGCAACTTAATCACTGTCCTCTATGTCTGGCCCTACTGTTTTGTTTGTTGGTTTTTGAGTCATACTCAAGCAGTGCTCAGGGCTTTCTCCTGGCTCTGTGCTCAGGAATCACACCAGGCAAGGTCAAGTTGCCAGAGATCTAACTCTGGTTGGCCATATATGAGCAAGTGCCCTACCCACTGTACTTTCTCTTCAGTTCCCCTAAAATTACTTTTCACAGGAAAGATTCTTTGTGAGTATTGTGCAATTAAGGTGTGTTTGTGTTATTTAATCCTGTCTTTTGTTTTCCCAATGATAAAATCCGTATTGAGTTTGATCTTGAGTCATTTCTAGTCCCTTAGTTTCTTGTATTTTACACACTGTCAGCAGCAAGGGCACATTTTGAATAATATGTTTTAAATAGACTTTTTTTCTTTAATTAATAGTGATTTCCTGGGGCTATAGTGATGGTACAGTGAATAGAGCATTTGCCTTGCATGCAGTCATTCTGGGTTTAGTTCCTGGCACCCCACAGGGTCTTTCAAGCCCCTCCAGGAGTGAGTTTTGAGAACAGAGCCAGGTTTAAATACTGAGACTGCTGGGTGTGGCTCAAAAATTAAAAAGTAAAAAGCAATAGTCATTTTCTAACCTTTTAAAATTAAGCAATACTAACAATATGCATTAATTTGTTAATATATTTGTGGATTATAGAGTAATATACATTTCTCTTTCCTCCTTAGAAGTAGTTACTGCATTTTAGACATAGCCCATGTCAGGGGCTACTCCTAGTGGTGTTCAGGGGACCATATCTGATAGGAGGATTGAACCAGTATTGGCTGCTTTTGAAAGGCCCGTGCCTTAACCTCTGTACACTCTCCAGTGCCACAAGAAAAGGACTTGGATGTTTTTCTATTTTTTTTTAAGACGCATTAATCCTTTTTTTTTTTCTATACCCTAATATGTACACTGGGCTACTTAAAGGTGAAATTGCTTCAGACTACTTATGTAGGCATCAAACTACAGAGTATATAATTTAGTGTAAAAATATCCCTTACTAGAAAAGTCACTGTGTGCCTCCTGGTGCGGAATGAATTGCCTACCCAGAGTCTGATGAACAGCTCAGCGTGTAGAGGGGCCCAGTTGGTAGTGCAGCAGGTAGGGAGTTTGCCTTGCACATGACCAAACAGGTTGGGTTCTTGGCACCCCGTTTTGTCCCCTGAGCACTGCTGGGTGTGGCCCCCAAACAAAAAAGTACAAAGAAAATTCAGCATGTACAGATTACTAGATCTATGTTTGTAGTATTTTCAGAAGACTTTCCGATAGGTAAACCAGTTTTCTTTGTGAGTATGGTGTATATTGTTTCTTTCAGATCCAGTTTTCAGTCTGTTTGCCTTCACCAACAAAGTCACTGCAGTGCACAGTAGAATAATTTGGTCTTGTGATTGGACTCCTGACAGCAAGTACTTCTTCACTGGGAGTCGGGACAAAAAGGTAATTTTTCAAAGCTTAAGATATTTTTATAGGTATGCTATATAAAAGAGCACAGTACCATGCCTTTCTAAAATGACCTTTAAAAATCAGCTCACGCATTATTTTATTCTTCTTTTCCACATACAAGCAAAAAAGGTCTTCTCTAATTAATTCCATGAGTTCAGTTTTTTATAGAGTAATGAATGCAGATGGCCCCCAGAGAAGAAAAGGAATAAGAGAAATAGGTAACAAATCAGAAATTAGAAGAACAGGAGAGTATGGGAGAGGAATGAGGGGGAAAGCAGTTTCTTTGTCTTTTCTAAATCTGTTTTTTTCTATAATGGATGATAGATATACTGGATGATTGTGGATGTACTGGATGATTATGACCTTTTCATTCAGTGATACAAGGGGTGTGTGTGTGTGTGTGTGTGTGTTTGTGTGTATTCATGTTCCAAACTTGGAAAAAATCAAAAGTTACCTAGTAATAGCATCTTGATTGTGCCCCATGTCCTTGCTCGGGGAGAAGGATGATATTGGAGCATCTCCTTCCTCCTCTTGCCTCTTCCAGGTGTGACCTTGGTCCACACTGCCAGAGTAGAGGCCCATGTGGACATGCTGTCACTCTGTGACATTGTGAGACACCAGCGTCTGTAACTCTCTCAGACCTTTAGTGTGATTCTTCTTCTCCCTGGCCTGTATTTGCTGACACTGGTCAAGCTGCTGGAGAAGTAGGACTGCTTTTGTCTTTGCAGTCCAGCTGCAGTCTACATCTGGAAAGAAACAGACAAAAGTTCTCTTCACTGCAGAGTCTTGGAAACATACTTCTTTTTTTTTTTTTCAAGTTTGTGGGTCATCCTATTAGTGCTCAGGGCTTACTCTTGGGTCTGCATTCAGGGTTAATTCCTAGTGGGATGAGGGATCTTATACGTGGACAGGGAATGAACCTGGGGAGGCCACAGGCAAGACAAACACACTACCTGCTGTACTAGTGTTCCTGCCACACAGACACATTTCTTTTCTTTTCTTTTGCCACACCCAGCAGCGCTCAGGGCTTACTTCAGCCTCTGCACAGGGAATTATTCCTGTGAAGCTTGGGGGACCATATGGGATGCCAGGGATTGGTTTTGTGCAAGGCAAACCCTCTACCAACTGTGCTATTGCTTCCACCCCCAAAGACACATTTCTGCCTAATGGGCAGACTGTTCTCTCCAAAATGATGCCTTGATTCTGTGTAAGTTTCCAAGAAAAAGATAAACGGTGGGTCCAAACAGGCTGGACACGCAGAACTCGAGCTTTCAGTGGCAGAGAGCCACCTCCCAAAGTGATGGACAGAGGAACGGGAACCGGGCCATGGGCTGGTCAGCAGTCAGTTTATTTCTCTCTCCTCCCCGGCGTCGTCCAATCTCTCCCTTTACCATGCAGGATCGGTTGCACAGTGGGTAGGGCGTTTGCCTTGCACCAACCCGGGTTCGATTCCTCTGTCCCTCTCAGAGAGCCTGGCTAGCTACCGAGAGTATCCCGCCCACTTGGCAGAGCCTGGTAAGCTACCTGTGACATATTCAATATGCCAAAAACTGTAACAAGTCTCACAATGGAGACGTTACTGGTGCTTGCTCGAGCAAATTAATGAACAATGGGAGGACAGTGCTACCATGCAGTTGTAGTCATCATTTTGGCCGTAGTTCCAGTCATCAGAGTTCCATCATACTAGTCTCCTTGCAGACCTCAAAGTCTCCAGAGTCTCAATTCTGCTTATCTTCAATGTTTCATCATTGATCTTCTCGTCCTCAACATCTAGTCCTCAGGGTCTAGTCTTCAGCATCAGTCTTCAGCGTGTAGTCTTCATCTCTCTCTCAGTATCTCCTTCTAGCATCTCCTTCCCAGAGTCCAGTCTACTTCTATAAGTCTCTGCCAGCCTACAAATCTTTCTGCCAGCCTAGTTCATGTAAGGTGGGGATACAAAGGTGGGGTCAAACATTATCATAACAACAAAGAGAGGTAAAGACCACTCCTTCAGAAGATTAACTCAAGGACAAAATGTTGTCTAAGGAGATTACTCAAGATTACTAGGAGATCCGCCTAAGGGCAGGATTTCATCCAGGGTGTATTGCTTTCTTTTTTCCTCAGCTAGTAATCCACTTAAAGTTGTAGTAAATTTTTTTCTTGTAATATTTCTAGCAATGTCATTTTGTCTGAGCACAGTGAGAGATATATTTGGCTCTTCCTGGGGACATCTCACTACATATGCCAGACCACAGTCCTCAGGCCAGGTTAATCTTATACTAACTCCGGCAGGGTCCTTATTCAGTTACCTCTTTGTGGGTCATGACAGAGTTTGTCCATGACCGTGCTCTTATAGTTAAGTATTATGGCACTTGGCCTGGCCCATTTCGATGCCAGGGTAGCTCACAACTTGCCCTCAGTCCATCAGTCCCTCATTGGGACCCTACTCTTGGAATACTAGGAACTAAGGGCAACTGAGGCTAAGTCAAGTAAACATGGGTGCCCAGGAGTAAATATTATTTTGGAGTCAGTTAACTCCCATGTCACATAGCATATCATCAGCTGTCTTCCTATGTCTATACAAAAAAGACATTGTTAAATAAACCATGCAGATGACATAAAGGAATGAGAAAAGCAATTATTATTAGTGCCTGATGGAATTGGGTGTGCCTCAATTGCACTATTTGGGAGTGGCTCAACAAACCTTAAGCTCCCTTCCAGCAACGAGGACAACCCAGTGTTATCCAACAGTTCTGCATTTCTCAGGATTTGTTGTTGTTGTTGTTGTTCATTCACCCTTTCTTTTGACTACTTAGCCCTTTTAGGCCTGAGCTTTCAGAACAGCCTCTTTTCGTTTTGGGGCCACAGCTGGCGGTGCTCAGAGATCACTTCTACTTATGCTTAGGGTACCAGAGATCACTCCTACTTATGCTTAGGGTACCATATATGTTGCCAGGGATCAAACCTAGGCTGGTTATGTGTGAGGCAAATGCCTTACTCACTGTCCTCTCTCTGGCCCCACAGTCTCATTTTTTAATGAAGGACATCCATTAAGGTTAGGTCGTCTGGACAGATGGGTGGTCAAAAGAGCCGGGAATGTGATTATTGGCCATTCATGAGGGTGGTAACTTCATGGGGTCATGCTTGAACTCAACAAAGACCATTAACTCAGAGGATGGGGACTGCTGAGTGGGAATTGGCAGACATCCTTTTGTTCTGTGTGGGAATGCCTGTCTTTGGGCCAGCACTCTTAGGTTGTTGAGCTCTCCAATATCTGCGTTGGGTTTTTGCTCTACATGGCTCTCTGGAATTGGAAATGCTCTGCAGGCCTGAAACATCTGCAAATGGAATGATGTCTTTCTCTTTTAAGTTTTTCTACATAACTTATGCCTTTGAAACTGTGATGCATCTCTAGAAACATTACCATAAAAGGCTTCTAAAGTTTCATCTCTCTGTTAGGTGGTGGTTTGGGGTCCGTGTGACCCTAGCGATGACTCCGTGGAGCACAACGTCGGACCCTGCTCCTCTGTCCTGGATGTGGGTGGGGCTGTGACGGCTGTCAGTGTGTGCCCGGTGCTGAACCCTGCTCAACGGTCAGTCTAGTGGGCCTGGTTTTTTTTTTGTTTGTTTGTTTTCTTTTCTTTTTTGTGGTTTTTGAGCCACACATAGACGTACTCGGGACTTACTCCTGCTCTGTGCTCAGGAATTATTCCTGGTGGGCTGGGGGATCCACATGGGGTGCCGGGGATCTGACCCCATTCGGCCATGTGCAAGGCAAACACCCTACCTGCTATATTATCTCTCCAGCTCTCAAATAGTCTTTTATAATCTCATATAGTGTTTTGAGTTGGGGGGCCTGGCCTGAGATAGCTCAAAGAGGGTCTCATGCCTGGTATGCAGAGGCCCTCGGTCCACTGCCCAGCACTGCATGCTCCCTCTGGGGCACTGAGCCCACTGCCCAGCAGCACACGATCCCTCTGGCTCCATCAAATCAGAGCAGCACTAGATCAGGTCTCAGTGGTAGTGAACTGAAGGACCTCCTTGAGCTCTGCTTGGGAGCTCCCCTGTGTCCCCCAAAGAGAAAAATTTGAAATTCATAGAACTTGCTGATGTCAATGGTGAAGCAGAGTTGGGAGCGTGGACCAGCAGTTTCTGTCTCACCAGGTCTGAGATGTTTCCTCTGTGACCTCACAGTGGTCCACCCCACTGCAGCCAGCCAGGGAAGCACAGGCTTCGCTAGCAGAGGACAGAGGTGAAACTGTGTCCCGATGGAGAGGAGGTCCCTGGAGGACTATAGAGGTAGTAGTGTGGGTCGCCGAGGCTGGCATTTTCAAAGTCTTTTTTTAAGACTGACACAGGAACATGAAGAACTCTCTGATTACTTGTTTACCTGTGTCATTGTGTCTCCCAAGCAGAGCTCATGGGACCCAGGGTCACTCCTGGTATACTCAGCCAACAAGGCCACATGGTCCACACTAGGACTCAAGAAATTGCAGCTGCTCAGGCCCTGTGGTGATGGAGACTCGCAGGCCACCCAGCAGTGATAGGGTCCTCCAGGGCTACATCTTGAGGGATCATTTGTTCCGTTGCATGTATCCCTGATCCCTGTTCTATCTCCTGAGCCTAGAACTACTTTTGAGTTATGATAGTGGAAATAAATACATAACCAGGCTGATTATTCTCTTTCCCCCAATTCCCAAACAGATACATCGTTGCAATAGGATTAGAGTGTGGGAGGATTTGTCTGTACAACTGGAAAAAGACTGATCAAGTTCCAGAAATAAATGATTGGACTCACTGCATTGAAACAACTCAAAGGTATTTTGTTCCAGCTTTTGTTTACTCCAGATTAGATAGAAATCTCCTGGAATCTTAAGAGACAAATTTTATGCCATTTTTGCGTAAATAGATTTGCACATCTCTTCACGGTATTTTCCAAGCACTCCCTCTGTGTTCTGTGCTAGTGGCTTTAAAATGATGTAAAAGCTTGCCTAACTAAATTGCTTGTTTTCCTAATACTAGAGATAATGCATTTGAGTTAAACTTAATGATAAGTTTTTAATTTTGTAAATTCTTCGGCGGGGCTAGGGGTAGAGTGGAGTTACTCTTGGCCTCTGTTCAGGGAATACTCTTGGTGGTGTTTAGGGAATCATATGCTTTGCCAGAGACTGAACTGGGGTTGGGTGCTCTATCCATGGAACTATTTCATGACTCGTATAGTAGGTTCCAAAATTTGATGTAAAATGTTGGTGGTTTTTAGGGGCCAGAGATAGTACAGTGGGTAGGGTACTTGCTTTGTACATGGCTAACCTGTATTTCATTCCCAGCATCCCATATGATCCCCTGATCACTGCTGGGAGTGACTCCTGAGCACAGAGCCAGGAGTAAGCCCTGAGCACTATCAGGTGTCGCCTCCTCCTTTCCCCCCAAAATTGGTGATTTTTAAGTGTGTTAGAGCCTGCTTCGGAAGCATCTTAGATTTGGAGACTTCAGTGCAGAATTCATTAAAGAGTAGACTATTGTCTGCCCCTCAGTGCCCTGTGATGATGCCCAGAAGCACAGTAAGTGTTCTTGGAGCCTCAGTGCCTTGGACACAGGTGTTGGCCTACTGAGCTGGCTTAGAGCCAGCCATTTTTGACTTCTCCCCTTCAACCTGCCTAGCAGACAGGTTTTTCAATTTGTCTTTTCCCTATTTTATAATGATCATAATGAGATAGCAAAAAAGGTTTATAAGGAAACTCTGCTTTCTAGACTGACTCCTCAAAATTTGTATCTTCTAAGTATCATGAAATAGTATGTTAGATTCAAAGAATAATGCCAAAAAAAGAAAAAAAAGAAAAGGAAGAAACCCTACCACTTTAGGGACCAGATCGATAATGCAGCAGTAGGGTGTTTGACTTGCAGGTGACGGAATTCCCGTACTGGCATCCAATACGGTCCCCTAAACCTGGAGTAATTTCTGAGTGCAGAGTCAGGAGTAACCCCTTAGCATTCCTGGGTGTGGCCCCCAAACCAAAAAAACAGTCTGTCACTTTAAAGTACTTCCCCTACCTTCCCCCGCCCCAACGTGGTTTTCAACCAAGCGCATAAGGCTGCTGCTCATGCCTTGGGTGTGGGGGTATCCGACAACCCTAGTGGTGCTTGGGCGCCCTTTGAGCTGCACCGGCAGTGCTTGGGGGACCTTATGCCGAGAATCAATCCTGCCTGCACCGTAATCACTCTACTGTTGGTCCCAACAATGGTTCATTTAAGACATTTTGGCTTCATGATAGTGTAAAGGCAATAAATATTCATAGGAACATAGGAACGTACTTCAAATCTTGAGTGGGGGCGTTCTGTTTTTCACTTTTAGTACAGCATTCAGTGATTGACATGAGATAATCAACTCTTTATTATAATAAAAAAAGGCTTTTTGTTAGATAACTTTACCCAAATATAGGGTAACATAAGTGTTCTAAGAACATTCTGGCTTAGAATTTGGGCTTGGCTAAGCAACATTTTGTAGGTTAGATGTACTGAGTACTTAAAAAAATATTTTTTCATTTGCTTATTTATTTGCAATATAATGACTTTCAGGGGTTTAGCTTTACATCTCTGTGTGTATTTGTGATTATTCTGCCATCCACCACCAAAGAGACCCCTCTGCTCCTTCGTCCTGTCCGTTTCCCCTTCCACTCTGCTAACCACCATAGTTTTCTTTAGTCCAGGAGTTGATTTTGTTTGATTTTTTTTTGTTTTGATTTTTTTTTGTTTTTTGGTTTGGGGGTCACACCCAGCCAATGCTCAGGGGTTACTCCTGGCTCTCCACTCAGGATTTACTCCTGGCAGACTATATGGGACGCTGGGGCTTGAACCCACGTTTGCTGTATACAAGGCACCCTACGTGCTGTGCTATTTCTCCAGTCCCTAATTTGACAGTTTTAAGTAAATAGGTTAAATTGTTTCCAGGGTTAGGTTAAACTTGCTAAAATATTTTTGTCATTTTTGAAAAACTAAACATTTTGGGAGTTGTTTGACTTTTACTTTAGTTAGTAGCAGTAGTGACATTAAATGAATACACATATGAGCATCACAAATACTTTATTTTTGTAGCATACACATGTTTTATAATTGTTTTCTTTGTTTTAGCCAAGGTCATACGCTTGCTATAAAAAAATTGAGTTGGAAGAATTGTACCAGAAAGAGTGAACAGAAAGAAACAGAAGATGCTGAATGGTTACACTTTGCAAGTTGTGGTGAAGATCATACTGTGAAGATCTACAGAGTTAACAGATGTGCACTGTAATAGACTTACTCCGATCAGATAATCATCTTCACATATTTATCGTGTAAATAGATAACTTTACCTCTATCATTTTTGTTGTTTCTCTTTGAGTCCCGTAGCAGTAGTATTTATGTGGTTCACGGGGCTTTTGAAATCTGACATAGCTATAGACCTTCCTTTCAAAATCTTTATCTCACATCCCCAGAGCCTTGGCCATATCTTTAAGGACTTATCACCACACCCACAGGTCCTGGTTAGGAATATGCTCCTTCAGAAATGAATTTGCCTCCTCTTCTATTCCATGAACTTTCTGTTGCTCTTCTGTGGGATATTTCATTATACTCTCTTCAGAGGGAGGACTTGAAAAATAGATAAAATCCAGATTACTTGTTTTGTTTTGGGGCCACACCCAGAGATAGTCCTGGGTTGTTTCTGACTCTTGGGAATAGCTCCCAGCCTATTGAGCTGTCTCTCCCACCCAAGGTTACGCAGTTTTTATTTTAACATTTTTGTAGTAACAGACCACACAGTGTGGTATTTTGACCCCTTCTTCCCACTATGCAGTTACTACTCTGGAATTCAGCATGTAGTATTTGAATTGTGATTTTATTTTATTTTTTTGCTTTTTTGCTTTTTTAGGTCATACCCGGCGGTGGTGCTCAAGGGTTACTTCTGGCTCTGCACTCAGTAATTACTCCTGGTGGTCCTCGGAGGACCATATGGGATGCTGGGGATTGAGCCTAGGTTGGCTGTGTGTAAGGCAAACGCCCAACCCACTCTACTATAGCTCCAGCCCTCCCCCCCCCCCCGTTTTTTTTTTTTTTGCATCACACCCAGAGATGTATAGGTGTTACTCTTGGCTCAGCACTCAGTGGAGAGTGTGACCATATGGGATGCTGGGAATCGAACCCGGGTCAGCTGGCTGCGTGCAAAGCAAACAATGCCATACCCACTGTGCTGTCACTCCTGCTCTTGTTTTGTATTTTTACTTCTAGGCCACACCCAGCAATTCTCAAGGGTTACTTCTGGCTCTGCACTTAGGAATTACTCCTGGTGGTGCTCGATGGGCCATATAGTATGCTGGGAATTGAACCCAGGTAGGACACGTGTAAAGCAAACCCCTTACCCACTATACTATCTCTCTGTGTGGTTAATTCTTTTATTTATTTTTACTTTTTCACATCAGGGAAATCGTTTAAAGAACTGAGCAGTTGCTTTGAGTGCTCTGGACCGGTGTGATTTCCAGCCTCCCAAGTACTGCCAAGTGAGGTCCAAAGACCGAAAAATAAACCAGCCAAATACTTGGATTCTTTTTCAGAATTTGACCTCTTAACCTATAGATGCAGGAGGGGCTGAAGAGCGGAGTTCTGAAACTTTTAAATTTTTGAATTTGAAGTCATAAGGAATATGCTTGTCAGAATGAATATGAGAGCAGCGGAGTGAAGAGGGTGGGGAGAATGTTGGGTGTGCCTGCGGAGGCCAGGAGGCCAGGACAGCGGCTGGGAGAGGCCGGAAGAGACTCTGTGAGAACTGGAGTGGGAATGGCCGCCCCAGCTGCTCGCTCCTGTGGTCTGCCCAGTACTAACCGGGTTTTGTTACATTGATGAGTGTGGGGTTAGACACTGGAGCCTTGTTTCCCATCAGAAAGCAATTCGGAGCTGGCCTTTTAGCTTCCTTTCACAGAAAAGGTCTCCTCTAGCCCGAGGGGAGGGCGCTTCCTGGGGTTTTGATCACTTTTTTTTTTAAAACTGTTTTCCAGTTGTTTCTCTCCGACCAAACCTGCCCTCTTTGGAGAGAGGCCCCCTGCCCGCCTTTTCCCTCACCTTTCCCACTGTATAGTCCCTCCTCGGCTTCTCAAGTGCCCCATATTTGTAGGTCAGCAGGTTCTGGTTGTTAGGCTTCCATGCACCAGTAAAACAGGAAATACTAGATTAAGTTCTTGATGCAAACCAAAGCCTCTGAAATCTAGCCCCCACCTTCCCTCCACACCCCCCCCCTTCACTACACACACAACACCCCTTCCCAGCAACTGGCTTACTCCTGGCTCTGTGCTCGGGGGTCATTCCTGGTGGGCTTGAGGGGGGCCATATGTGGGTGCCAGGGATCAAACTCAGGGCAGCCGTGTGCAAAGCAGGCTTCCTGCCCATTGTACCATCACTCCAGCCCCCGCCTTCCTGACAGTGTGACCCACCCAACTGCTGTATGAGTGGGAGAGCTGGAGCTTCAGCCTCTGGGAAGCTCGACCTTCCTCAACCATTAGCAGCTGTTCTCTCTGAAACAGCAAGTCCAGCCATGCTTGGTTCTGGCCTAACACCTGTCAGCCTTCCCTTCTACACAGATGCTCTCCCCAACCTCCTTCCACCTCTCTGTCCACTTGAGGCAGACACCCTTATGTGTCACTGGCCCCAGAGTTCCGGTCTTTTCCAGAACACCCCAGAGCTCCAGGCAGCCCCTTGTACAGGCCCCTTCCCAGAGTGGTGTCACTGGTCCTGGACACTGCCCTTTCGAAGCATCAGGCCTGTATTGCTGAGTCCCAGAACTGAGCTCCAAACTGTCTCCTTCTGCATAGGCCCCTATTTTCCTGTGTCCCAGGCCAACCATGCTCAGTCCGTTTGTCTGTTTGTCCGTTTGATAGTAACCCTTGATTCCTTGTCCAACTCAATAAGCATGCGAAGTCCCCTGGCAAGGACTCCAATGATGAGAATCCACACACAAGACATTCATACATGAATTACCTCATTCACTCACCTGGCAAACCTCTCAAGTGAACTCCCACTGCAGGGGCTGCCTTGGATTTCTGCTGCCTGTCTGATGACAGCTTCACCTGCAGCCTTTCCACACTCACCCCCTCCCACATGTTACCAAAGGTGCCAGGCCCACTTCTGGTCTCCTCCAGGATTCCCAGCATCCTCCCTCTCTGACTTTTCTGGCTCTCCTGACTTTGCCAGTGCTCCACTCCATTTTCCCCATCTTTCACTGCTGCAGCCTGTGTGTGGGACCGGCTTCCGGAGTTCCAGGCCTCTGCACAGGAAATGCTGCTCTCCTTCACCACCACCACCCTGGCCCTCCGGAAATACAGGTTGGGGCCAGTTGCTCTGTCACGTCCAGCCTCTTCTGGGAAAGTTCCTTCAGAGTGGAGGAGTGGTCAGACCACACCTCTCTCCTTCACTTTCCCCAGGGGCCTGTCAGGCCCAGCAGTGACCTCAGGGACTCTTCCTTTCCCACCACCTCCCGTGTTCCCAGGGGGAGGAGCTCCCAGGAGAAAGTGACATGAAGGCCATAGTCCATTTTCTTCTTCTGCGATTTGTGTCTGCACAGCTGTCAGAGGTTGTTCTGAGTTTCCTTGCCTGCAGTTTACAGCATTCCAGCCTGCAGTTGGCCGTTGAGAGCTCTGCTAAGTCACCTGTAGGTACTTAAAATCCTTCGCAATGAATTTCCAGTCCCAACGCCTCAATTAAAACCCTACCCAGATTTTTTTGTTGCTCTTGTTTTGGGTCCACATTTGGCTGTGCTTGGGGCTTACTCCTGGCTCTGTGCTCGAACGCTACTCCTTTGCTTGGGAGACCACATGCAGTGCTGGGGATGGAACCACAGGTTGTCTGCATACAAGGGCTGTAGTTACTCACTATAATACCTGCCTGGCTTCCCAAACTTCTTTTTTTTTTTTTTTTTTTATTAGTGAAGCACCGTGAGGTACAGTTGTAGATTTACAAATCTTTGTGCTTGGGTTTCGGTCACACAATGAAAAACTTCTTTCTTGACCATGATAACTTACTGCACTTATTCTTCCAAAGTTCACTCGGGAGGTTTGCCAGGTGAGTGAATGAGACAAGTCGTGTATGAATGTCTTGTGTGTGTATTCTCATCATTGGAGTCCTTGCCAGGGGACTTCGCATGCTTATTGAGTTGGACGAGGAATCAAGGGTCACTGTCAAAGGGGAGGGATTTCACCTCCCAGTTTGGGACTGACTCCAGTTTGCTCAGGCTGGCTGGTGAGCACACATGTCTCATGGTTCTCTGATTGGAGGACCTTAGGGCTGAAAAGTTTTCTTACACATTGAACTTCAGGGGCGGAAGTGGCTGCCTCAGACTTCACAAACCAACTTTGCTATCCTAGGGCCCCACAAGAGTACAAGGCGAGCTGAGGCAGTGGCAGGGCTTTAAGCACAGGGGATAAGTTCATTGAATGGTGATCCTTGTAAGATGAAGGCTGGGAGCTCTGCTTCAGACCGAGTGACAGCAGGACTTCATCAGTTTGAGCCTCCGGCAGGAGAGGTCCAAGAAATCAATGCATCGAGCTGAAGGGTACCAACAGAGCTGAGCTGTATCACACAGACATGTTCGTGCACACACACACCCACTCTCCCACTCTCCATCACAGGCCCAAGGCTACTCTTCAGGATGCCTTTGCTGGATTCCTCACTCGGAAGTCCCTCTCGCCTCCTGTGTTTCAACACCTCCATTCAGAAGTAGCTGCATGAAACTCATAATGTGTCATTTCCCTGCATGGCACAACATATCTTCATCTCCCTCTGAGCTTACAGTACCCTGGGCAGGGGCTTGAAGATGCTTATGGGGAGTGGGGAGGGCTCTCAAGCAGACCTCAGGAGGCCCAGGATCCCTGAAGTGACTTTTTTAAAAGAAATTTTGTTCTAGGTCCTGTGCTTTACAATATTGATAATGGCAGGGTTTCATGCACAAAACATTCCAACACCACATCTTCCACCTGGGTCAGCTCCACCCGCCTGCAGTAACATGCTTCCTACTAAAGACCAATTCTCCATTTCTGTTGCCTTTGGGTGTTTATTGTTTCTTTACTATGCTTATATCCAAGATATTAGACCCTCTTTCTGACTAATGTCATTCAGCATGATACTCAACATGATGCCCTCCAGGACACTCCATGTAGTAGCAAACTGCATGATTTCATCGTTTTTTACATTTTTTTTGGGGGGGGGTCATACCCAGCAGTGATGCTTAGGAGTTACTCCTGGCTTTGCACTCAGGAATTAACTCCTGGTGGTGCTCAGGGAACCATATGGGATGTCAGGGATCAAACTTGGGTCATCTGCATGCAAGGC